GAAGAGGTGCAATCATTTGTGAAACAAGAATGGTTTCTGTTATTGTAAAATCCCCCTCTCCCCAAATAATTTGTTTTTGACAAAGCTGTTCAAACACATACAATAAGTCAGGTTTATTATTCCTCCATATGGGTAATATCAGACAAACAGAAAGGCTCTACTTAGCATTACCCAATGGCAGATATTTATAACCCTGATCTCATATCATGGGATTCAATGTATATATATTATTTGCATTTGCAAAGTGTTAGTTTTAAAGGTAAAGACCAGTATTGGAAACGCCCCCTTTTAAAAAAAAATGAAATAGAAGCTCTTATTACCAATCATGCGAAAGAATATGTTTTGACTAATACATGATGTTAACAATTTTGCAGGGAAACCGCCTACTAATTGATATATTTGGTAAATTAGTTTATCTATTGGGATGTGAGAGATATCACGTGTGCGTAGTCCCATATAGATCTTTCTGTGTACAGTGCTTGTAACTTTACCAAGACTGGGCCAAATTTCTTATCATTTTGATGATTCCAGAACCTTGCAGTACACACCAATACTTATATGCTAGATGATCAACCTTTTCTGATCGATTCCACAACGTTTCTTTCACAATGCAATTGCATGACCAGAACCGATCTTTATCTTTAATTGATTTGATGTAATTTGAATGCAAAAACTGTTTCCTTTACTTATCCTCTACTTTCCTTCTAATCCGCCAACTAGAGAACATTATACAATTTGCGATATAGAAATATCTTATTATTAGAAGTAGTAGTAGTAGTAATGTAGTATTATGGCTTATTCCATTAATTGCCTTTTAAAATATTGCAAACATTACAATGAATTTCTGTCTTATCAGAATATATAATGTTGAATGCAATACAAGAAGACGTGAAATGTGTTTTAACAGTGTTAATTATCGCATTATCATTAGAACTGATAGATATTCTGAGAACCTGTTAACGGTTTACAATCAAACTTGAATTTTGAGCATTGCTTCTGTTTTGGTTTGTAAAATTGCTCTATGGCATCATTTTCGACTGCATGCAGTCAAAGAACCATCTAGTTTAATGTAGCTTTCAATCTATTCCATGTCTAAAGGAGCATCTGGGTCCAGGCCAAGGCCAGGAGGAGCTGAAAACTCTCCTCCAAATGGCATGCAAATCAGAGAAGGTCCTGATAGAGCGACAGTGGACTGGGAACCTGCAACCAATGATGTAGACGGTTATGTTGTCAACATGGGCACTGAGGCCAACCCGAATCAGTTTACACAGCGTGTTTCAAGTGGGGAGAGGAGGAGGTTTAAACAAGATGGGCTTGAACCTGAAACAGATTATCAAGTTTCTATCAAATCATTTGATTCAGAAGGGGAAAGTGAGCCTATTCAACAAGGCTTCAGGACAAGGCCTAGTGAGTATACAGATCTTCATTCCATTCCTTATCATCCCTTCGCTGATGAAGTCAGAGGGGATATGGTAACTCTGCCGGTCTGTCCGTCCGTACTTCCGTAACAAATCTGGTTTCTGTTTGATAACTTTAGTAATGTTTGAAGGATTTTAATTAAATTTGATATGAATATTTACAATATCAAAATACAGCCCCAGTTAGATTTTGGAGTATGTAGGTCAAAAGTTGTAGCTCATTGAATATGCAAAAAATAGCTAATTACGTATCCGAAAATGTATTTGATAAGGAAGTACATGGTATTAGAATTCAGCTTACGTTCCATTTTGGAGTATGTAGGTCAAAGTCAAAGTCCATAGCTCATTAAATATGGAAGGATACCTAATTATTTATGCAAAAAATGGAATATGACAATAGTTCTCATAAAATGTATCATCTACATGATGGCTGTGAGTTACGAACATTAAGATTGATAAGATTTTTAAATTATATACTTCACCTTCCTCCATTTGTTCGTTCTCCCAATTCTGAATAATAATATGAATGTTTTTACCACCCTCTTCTTTTTCTACTTTCTTTTCCTTTGAAAATTCAATTGCATCTATGTAATAAAGCTGCATTCTTCCTCATTTTTATGTTTGTTTACATATAACGGAGAAGATCTTAACAGTAAAGTTTTTTCATGGAGTGTTATTTTTCATTACAGGACGAACCGGCAGTCCTCAACCCCCAACCGGTACCAAAGTGAACAGACGATATGACTCATTGGGTGTTGAGTGGGAAGAACCTGAAGGAGATGATGTAACTGGATACAGATTAGAAGCTGGACCTCCTTCAAACCCCCGCCAGTTTACAAGGGACTTTGAACCAGGCACAACAAGTGCAGACATCCCAGGCTTAACACCAGATACAGATTATCAGGTCAATTTGTATTCTACCTCCAGATCAGGAGACAGTGAACCTGTAAGAAGGACTGCTAGAACTAGTGAGTACTTCCCATTCACTTTGTAGATTCAGCAATTTTAAAGTATTAAGCAGTATCTTGCATGTACTTAAATTGAGATTTAGTTATCTTTCATCTAAAATATTAGTTAATAACAATAAATCATTTTCATGGTAAATATTCAACATCCTAAAAAAGACATAAATTATTGAAGCCATGAAGAAAGCCTCAAGCCTTTGTGAAAATAGTATCCATATACTCTTAAATTCATTCATCCAGGACCAACACGACGTCCAAAGCGCCCCCAACGCACTAGAGCAAGTTCATCAAGTCCTGATTCCATTGATGTCAACTGGGAAGCACCTACAGATGACAGTGTTGATGGATTCAGAGTTGATGTTGGAACTCCTGCTGATCCACGTAGAGACTTCTCAAGGCGATACCCTACTGGAACAACAAGGGCCTCTATTCCAAACCTAAACCCAGACTCACAATACCAAGTCAGTGTAGTATCCACCTCACCATCTGGAGAGAGTGAACCTTCAAGAAAGCCTGTCAGAACTCGTGAGTGTGCATTCTCTAGCTGCTTGCATCAAAGATATAACAATGGCTAACATTCAAAATGTTTTTTATGCTATTTGATGATGCAGAACAAGTGAGCATGGATATCTGAAATGACCAGCATATTTATCACATCTTTCACCCATACATGTATAATATGCTGAGAGATCTAAGGGCATTTATGTTTAACTAAAGCACATATAGAAGAAATGTACATCTTTCAAACAATAGTTAAGAAAGGTCAAACATTTTGAGTCAGTAATGATTTTTGTTCCAAGTTCAGAATTGTGTTATTTGGAATATTATGATATGTTTGTGTATATTATATGTGATCCAGGAAATAGTCTTCTTTTATGTCAATGGTTAAGCCTATTGCAGTCAAACATATAGCTGATTGTCAATATGAACTTATTTGTTGAAATCCGCAGAAGGCGACGGTACTAGACGCCCCTCCCGCCCAAATGGCATGCAAGTAAGGGAAAGTATCGAGTCAGCGACCGTGAATTGGGAACCTGCAACCAATGACGTAGATGGTTACATTGTCAACATGGGCACTGAGGCCAACCCGAATCAGTTTACACAGCGTGTTCCAAGTGGGGAAAGAAGGAGGTTTAGGCAAGATGGGCTTGAACCTGATACAGATTATCAAGTTTCTCTTAAGTCATTTGATTCAGAAGGGGAGAGTGAACCCATTCAACGAGGCTTTAGGACAAGGCCTAGTAAGTATAACAATTGCCCAATGTGTACAATAAAAAGTTAAAGCTAAGTATAGTTATACAAGATTTGATTCATGTATCATGATTGCATTATCATTAGAGAAAACTTTGTAGAAACCGAGACTTATTCAAGTTATGTATTGTAGAAGATAGCATTATGTCATTGTAAGATACTCTTACATGAATACTGATGGCTTTGTCATCTGTGTTTGGAAATAGATTGATGTTGATAATCTTATTGTTTTTTCAGGACGACCCCAAACCACCAAGTCCCCGACTGGTGTCAGAACAAACCCACGATACGATTCTATGGGAGTGCAATGGGAAGAACCTGAAGATGAGAATGTTGATGGATACAGACTGGAAGTTGGAACACCCTCTAATCCCCGCCAGTTTGTAAGGGAATTTGATCGTGGCACGACGGCTGCCAATGTTCCAGGTTTAGACCCAGAAACGGATTATCAAGTCAATCTAGTATCTACATCTCCATCTGGAGACAGTGAACCTGTAAGAAGGAGAGCTATCACAAGTAAGTGTTAACTTGTTGCCTATTGGAGTCGAGTGACTCCTATGTTAAAGTCTCTGTGACATATAGAATTTAGTGTCCTGTGTACCGTAGTCAGATTAAAATGGCTCAAATATCCTGGTACTTGCAACTTCATGATTCATGTTCATATCAGAAAAATGTCTTTGTTTAGATGGAAATTCTTCATATATTGCAAAAGTGTCATTTCATCATTGCAAGGTCACCAGCAGTAATGGGGGATGAATATTTCCTCTACAAATGGCCAGTTACAAATTTTATCCAAATGAAGTTACTGCCCTTAGTGCCTTCAAGCCCCAACTAACTGGTCAAATAATATTACTTCTTTCAATAATTTTTTTGAAATAGTATTCATGATATAACTTTTTTAATAAAAAATTATTTGAAGAATATAAGGTTTGTAGACGAGTGCTCATTAGAGATTCAAACTTTAAAATGTCCGCTATTAAAGGCATCGTTTAACAATGTTAAATCTGAGATGCACTGCCCTACGTGTTATCAGTGTCTGTGATATGGTGCAATATTGTAGCCCTAAAAAATTGCGCGTCAAAATGATGAAGAAGTGCCTCAAAAAGTAAAAATCTTTGAGTGACCTGTTATACCATACTCGTTTTCCCCAATAGACTGAAGTGTTATGAAAACAGTTAACAAAACGTAAAATAGGCGATAGGCTTGTTAAAGTCATGGGGTTCCTGACTGACCTAAAGGTTTATAATTGTCATTGCAGCATGAGCTAAATCCAGGATTTTGTTTCAGAATCTGAGACAAAGTTGCCCAATCCCTTTAAAGAAAGAAGCATTTGTTCATGTTTTATTGTCTTTACTGTGTTATTTAGGGCGAACACGACGTCCACAGCGCCCCCAACGTACGAGAGCAACTTCATCTAGTCCTGATTCCATTGATGTCAACTGGCAAGATCCAGATGATGAAAGTGTTGATGGATACAGGGTAGATGTTGGAACGCCATCCAATCCTAGGTCAAAGTTCTCACAGCGAATCCCTCGAGGAACCAATTCAGTCAGTGTTCCAGGCCTAGATGAAGATTCAGAATACCAAGTCAGTGTAGTATCCACCTCACCGACTGGAGAGAGTGATCCTGTAAGAAAGTCTGTCAGAACACGTAAGTAAAATAGTCATGCCTGATCGACATTGGTGTTCAAATATCATTGTGCCAATGTTTTAGTTGCCCGTACAATATTTTTAACTTTTTGATTTTAATTCCATTTTCAATTTATATAAAATTCGGCCGAAGAGATCAGATACAGCTTATGTCATAATGCTCACTCGCATGAGTTAAATAATTGAAGTTCAAATTAAGCAAAATTGTTAATGTTTACGATAATCCAATCCAATCCAAAAGATATTTGATATGGCGCCTTTTCCTTGCTATTACAAAGCGCTGCACACACGCTCCACAATGTTTGGGCCACTTAAAAACAAAAGTTAGACACTTCTCAGAGATCAGTAAAGTATATGTAGGCTTGTAATAAAGTAATTTCTAGCAGAATAGATGTGACTTGAGTAGTTTCTTGAACTGGTCAACAGATGAGGCCGTCTGCACAGGAGTAGGTATGGTTCCACAGTTTATGATACATGTACTTTGATGTCTTATCTAAAGAATAAATGCAATTTTTCAAACATTTACCCAAATTGCATTGAGCCAAGTGAAGTGCTCATTCTCATTTTTAATAATAATGCTAGATATCTTGCCTCATGAGAGATCCCACGCCAGTTTAAAAAAATAATTGTCTACAACATGAATACCGTAAATCTCCGTGTATAAGGCGCACCTGTGTATAAGGCGCACCCCTATTTTGGGGGGGGAAAAAAAAAAAAAAAAAAAAAAAAAAAAAAAAAAAAAAAAAAAAAAAAAAAAAAAAAAAAAAAATCGTTTTTTGTTTTGTTGTTGTTGTTGTTTTTTGTTGCCGAAAACCCACGCGGGGAAGGACCTTCATTTTACATCGAGGTGCAGTAGAAGTTGTGAACTTGTCACAAATAATAGTAACAACAGTCTAAGGCTTCATGATACCAAGTGTCCCACACCAGCCTCTTCACATCACCTAGCAGAAGCACTGTGTTCTATGCCAAACATCAATAGTCATGCATGATATGAATAGCATCCTCTATCTTTCTAATAATGGAGTACCTAGGATAGAACCTTGTGGTACACCATTTGTTATAAAAAACATATGCGACATTGCCAGGCATAGCGCCATAAATCGAAACTAAAAAAAAAAAAAAAAAAAAAAAAAAAAAATTCTGTACCTGTGTATAAGACGCACCCCCGACTTTCAAATTTTTTCGGCGGCAAAAAAGTGCGCCTTATACACGGAGATTTACGGTAGTCACTTGTTATTTTTGTAAATTTCATTGAAGTGTAAAAATTATCATCAGAACAGCACCTTGTTACAGTAAACACAAAATTACGAGTTGCTGTATCTTTACAGAGAGGCCTAGTCCGCAGAGCATCTCTTCTCCCAATGGTATGCGGTTGGATGAAGAAAGTTCTTCTGTGACAGTTAATTGGGATCCATCCGGCAGTGATAATATTGATGGCTACACTGTCAACACAGGGACCCCAAGCAACCCAACTCAGTTCTCTGAAAATGTCCCCAAGACAACCACAAGTTTAAGGCAAAAGGGCCTTCGTCCAAGTACAGATTACCAAGTTTCTGTCAAGGCATATGGCTCAGATGGGGAGAGTGATCCTATTCAACAAGGTTTTAGGACAAAGCCTAGTGAGTACTGCCAAGATACACTGCAATCACTTTTGCTTGAAGTCCATATTATAGTATTAGTAACTAAATGGAAATTATCAGCTAGGGGAGAAACTTTTTGATTATGTTCTCATAGTGGTTTTGGTGTGTAAAAAGTTACACGCGATAATCTGTGATAATCTGTGGTAATCATCCAACATAAACTGAAGATGTCCCTATGTGTTGGCTCAGTCAGTAGAGCGTCGGCCTCACAACCAGGAGGTCATGGATTCGAACCCCGGCCGCGTCATACCAAAAGACGTTTAAAGACGGGAGTTGCTGCTGCCTTGTTTGGCGTTCAACAATAAGGTATAGAGCAACGTCGATCTGGCGCTGCTCAGTGGCTGCCGGGCTCACGATCAATTGGGCAAAAAGAATTTCCATTTTTGGTTTAACTTAATAAAATTTGGAGTGGACTTTAAAAGATTATTAATATTATTATTTAACAAGACAACTTGAAATCCCCTTTTGCTAAAAGGAAATATTGAATTTCCATATTGTACATACCCTGTTGTAAGTGTGTGAAGTAACTTGTTGTGGCTTAAGATGCTGCAAGTCAAATTAATGAAAAGTTCTACATTTCGCATAGAATATAGAAAAACTGAAAATGATTCCATTTCTCTTGTTTGTTTGCAGAGCGAAGACAAGGCCCTGCACCCCCAGTTAACACCAAAGCAAATACACGCTACGATTCAATAGCAGTCAAGTGGGATGAACCTGAAGATGACAGTGTTACTGGATACAGAGTGGAAGTTGGAACTCCTGATGAACCTAACCAGGCCTCTTGGAATTTCCCTCGGGGCACAAGAGATTTCACCATTCCTGACCTAGATCCAGATACAGATTATGACGTCAAATTATATTCCACCTCACCATCAGGGGATAGTGAACCAATCAGAAGGAAAGGAAGAACAAGTGAGTGGTATATCTATACTAAAATCTGTTCTGGATCATTCCTGAGCACAGGTTTTTTTTAATTTGTGTCATCATTTATGCATTAGTTATGATTACCCGGCATGCAAGCTAAGTTAATGTTATGGGTATCATTTTTTGTCAACCTCAGAAACCTACATTTTGTTTAATATTAAACACACTATATAGAATAACAGGTTAAAATGAACCAACTTACTGATGTGTGCAGAGGAAAAAAGTTTGAGAAAAAACTTACTTAAAGTTTATATTATTTTCAGGCATTGCTTATATTGCTTTAATTATCATAATTCATTTACCAGATTGTGATGCCCTATGCGCTCAGCTTTTGTGTACAGCATAGAGTATTCTTATTGCTGCAAAGATACATTAATGTTATAATCTACTTGTATACATGGACTAGCAGGACCCGCGGAAATCCGCGGGATTCTAGAGGGGGGCGGGGGTGTAAATAGATATATAGAGACTGTCTAAATTAAAATTGCCATTCAGGCCATTAAAAAAATATACATGTTTAGCGTCCCCGCCCGCTTCCTTTTTGGGGGCCGCCTCCTTTTTTCTTTTTTTTTGAAATTGTTTCAATTTTTTTTTTTTTTTTTTTTTTTTTTGAAAGAAAAAAAAAACAGCGTCCCCGCCCGCTTCCTTTTTGGGGGCCGCCTCCTATTTTTTTTTTTTTTTTTTTTTTTATTTATTTATTTATTTTTTTTGAAAGAAAAAAAACATGAAAAGCACTGCTAAAATGTATTTCTGATTTAAAAAAAAAAATAAATAAAAAATTGTCGGCCGCCATCTTGCAAAATAGCCCGAATGTCAGGGAAAATGTACGGAGCGGCCATTTTATAAAGAAAAAAAAAAGGGCCTACTCCTTCCCATTTTTCGAAAAACACGACGCTAAACATGTTTTTTTTTTAATTTGGCCTTATATAAAAAATAAAAAAACGATCCAACTGTACTGGTAGTTATTCTTTAAGCCACTGGAACTGCGTAGAGTTCCGTAGTGTGGCGTACCGACTACGCAGAAATTAGGCTGCGTATTAATGGGAAAATAGTCCCTGCGTAGGTTATGCGTAGGCTGGCGTACAGGTTTGCTTATGGTTGCTTACTGTGTGGAAAGCTTTTACTGCTTTGTCGATCTGGCTTAGGGTAGCGTACAGTTGCGTAGTCATGTAGCGTAGTGTTGCGTAAAAAGGCGTACTTTCTGCGTCAAGTTTCTACACCGACAGTACGCGAAAAAATTTAACACGTTGAATTGTTTTTGTTCATCTTGCGTACCCCTTTCCGTCCCTCAGCATATGGTAACGTAGGCCAGCGTAGTTGGTACGCAACACTACACAACTCTACGTATTAACCCCACCTCAATTAGTGTTCGCAAGTGTAACAAATAAAGTATTAAAAATATGCTCATCTGACCCTAATTAAACGCCTAAACCCCCCGAGCTTTCGGGGGTTTATGGCCCCTTGAAACCTGTGGACCCCACGCCTATATTTTATATACACTCAACTCGCTGCGATCTGATCTCTCCCGCCCCCCCCAACTTTGAAGAACGTAACCCCCGAGCTTTTGGGGGTTTATGGCCCCTTGAAACCCGTGGACCCCACGCCTATATTATATATACACTCAACTCAGGACCCGCGGAAATCGGCGGGATTCTAGAGGGGGGCGCAGGCAAAAAATTAAGTTTTTTATTTCGGGGGCTCCATTTCAAATTTTTGGGAAATTTTCGGGGGCTACTTTTTCAACTTTCGGGGGCTCTTTTTTCTGGGGCTACTTTCATAAAAGGATAGGCCTACACTTTGTTGAGATTTGTTTAGTAGGCTAAGGTTTCAGGCTTCCTAGACTACTTCATAATTGCCTAGATCTATTTAAAAAAAAAACATTTTTCTAATTCAATAACTAAGTTTTCATGCATTGATTTGATGCAAGAACTGTAACATAATAGACCCTAGATTGTGATTATTTCTGACCATGAATTTCGATAATCATTTTTCAAAGTAAATTTTCACAAGAAAATCAGACAGTCGTTTAAAAACGTAGACATTAGTAATACTTTTACTAATTCTAAGCTCGGGTTTTGTAAATCTATTCACGAAACTATATTGAAATCGCGGCAATAATGATGCAAACCAACACATAACAATTTCAAAGTGTCAAATCTCTTCGACTCGAGCTCAGCTGAACTCACACACACCTCAGCGTAACTCCAGGAAGCTCGAACACCGGCGCCTCAGGCGTCGGACGCCTGTGGTCCGCGGTCCCGGTGTTGGAGCTTCCCGAGCAGCGCAACTGCACTGTGTGTAATGTATGTGACTGAAGGCAGCTTGCGACTAAACTGTCAGTCCAATGGTTTTCTTGTGAAAACTTTCCTTTAGAAAATGATAATCAAAATTCAGTAAGCATGCATGGCCGTAATAATCACAAAATAAGCTTTGATTTCATACCTCCATTTACGAAAACTATATACAATCATGATGGAAATAGGTCTCTAAGTTTGGACGTCGACGGGAAGCCCCGTGTATCTCTCTGGCTTGTGCAGCGCTACTACAAAGCACATCCTATAGCAAGACGCTTTACTCTCGGTAATCCCGCCCTTTGCATAGAGCATTTAATACGCAACTTAATGTGAGTGGATGGTCATCGGTCGTGTGTCTACGGATGTAATGTTGAATATCCATGAGGTATCTCTGTCGTCACGCATATCCTGCATTATGCATGTCGCGTCTGTTTTCGCCCTGGACGTCGACACGGAGGAGGACCTCGGGCGGAGTATAGCCAATTCCACAGAGTAGACTCTCCCGCGGACGATGGCACCGGGCACGGGTACCCCGAGGGGAGGGTTCAGGAGGAGATAGCCGCACCAACTTGGGTCGGCGATCTCATTAAAAAACAATAGAATACAAAGGCTCGCGGAGACGTCGCGCCCCCCGCGGAGCCTTAGCGTATTACTTATATAGATGTTATCACAGTATGCTTATCATATTAAGGCATTGAAACTAATTTTAGGTTAATTCTCATAAGTTTAGGAATACTGAAATGATTCTTCTAAATACATATATATGTAGTGAGTTATTTCACAAGGAAGAAATGGCAGAAAAAAGGCATCTTCTATTCAATGTAATTAAATGTGTAATTCAAGCAGGTGATCGTGAAAGTTTGTTCTTACAATGTCTTGTAGGACGCACCCGACGTCCAAAACGCCCAGCCCGTTCTAAAGTGGACCCAAGCTCTGATTCTCTGGACGTAAGTTGGGATGAAGCAAAAGGAGACAATATTGACGGATACAGGGTGGATGTTGGAACTCCTTCTAACCCAAGACAGTTCACACAGCGAGTCCCTCGTGGAACAACAAGGGCATCTTTCCCAGGTCTAGACCCAGACACAGATTATCAAGTTAACATAGTATCTACTGCAGGAGTTGAAGAAAGTGAACCATTAACAAAGGCTGCTAGGACAAGTGAGTGTAAATTGTATTGGAATACATGGAATGTGCAGTATGGCAGATGACGCTCGAAGCAGTCTAGCCTTTCTAGTTATAGTCTCTTGTACAAATACCTATATCTGCACATACATGTATATGTATGAAGAAAAAAGTATTTTGATCAAAGTATCAGAGTTACTTTCCAGGGAGAAATACTTTATAGTAGGTAAAATATCAAACCTAAAAGTAGGGTTTATGCTTATATTCAATCAAATATTGCTCCACTACCAAATGAATTGTTTGTTTAGTGTAGATCAGTGTTTAGAGCATGAGTCAACCATGTAACAATGTGATTTGGTAGCATAGATATTTGTGGAGAAAACCAAAGATTTGAATTTGTTACCATTTGTAAACTACAGTTAAGTACTTGGGAACACAGTTAAGGACTGAAATGATCCTCTATCACAGTCTCTTCACCTAAAACTGAGTGAAATGGAGAAAAAAAAATTGTATCATGAGAGAGTATTGTGTATACTCCTTCTTTAAAACTAGGCATGATTGAAGAGGTACAAGTATTTGTGAAACAAGAATGGTTGTCTGCTATTGTAACCCCCCCCCCCCCCAAAAAAAAAAAAAAAAAAAAAAAAAAATTGAAAAAGCTGTTCAAATACATACAATTAGTCAGGTTTATTATTCCTGTAAATGGTTGGTATCAGATAAACAGAAATGCCCTACTTAGCATAACACTGATCTCATATCATGGGATTCAATGTAGCATAATGGCTTATTGCATTAATTGCCTTTTAAAATATTGCAAACATTTAACTGACTTATTCTTTTTGTCTAATCTGAATATAATTTTGAACGCAATACAAGAATACATATATTATTATGACCTTATTGATTCTTTAAAAAATTTAAAAGTGGTAATTTTTCTCCTCTCTTATTCCAAATCCCAATTAGTTCAATTTTATTTTATTTTTTCCACAATTCGATGAAAAATGACAATAAAAAGCAGTAAAGATATAAGGTACAGAAATTCACCAACAATAAAATTGCCGTACACATATGCAATAGTTATAAATAGACAAAAATACACAAATCGAAATGTGGAGGATGCCAAAGGCCTATCACAGGTTTATCAAGAAGATATATAATACATTATTATTTGCTTGAGAGAAATATGGATTATTTAAACATACACAGACACATGAACATGAACACACTCCCAACAACAAAAATCAGAGGAAAAATCAAAGAAATTAATTTCTTAATGAAGCTTTCAATCTATTCCATGTCTAAAGGAGCATCTGGGTCCAGGCCAAGGCCAGGAGGAGCTGCCAATTCTCCTCCAAATGGGATGCAAATCAGAGAAGGTCCTGATAGAGCTACAGTGAACTGGGAACCTGCAACCAATGATGTAGACGGTTATGTTGTCAACATGGGCACTGAGGCCAACCCAAATCAGTTTACACAACGTGTTCCAAGTAGTGACAGAAGGAGGTTTAGGCAAGATGGACTTGAACCTGAAACAGATTATCAAGTTTCTATCAAATCATTTGATTCAGAAGGGGAAAGTGAGCCTATTCAACAAGGCTTCAGGACAAGGCCTAGTGAGTATACAGATCTTCATTCCATTCCTTATCATCCCTTCGCTGATGAAGTCGGAGGGGATATGGTAACGCTGCCGGTCTGTCCGTCCGTACTTCCGTAACAAATCTGGTTTCTGTTTGATAATTTTAGTAATGTTTGAAGGATTTTAATTAAATTTGATATGAATATTTACAATATCAAAGTACAGCCCCAGTTAGATTTCGGAGTATGTAGGTCAAAAGTTGTAGCTCATTGAATATGCAAAAAATAGCTAATTACATGTACGTATCCGAAAATGTGGTTCCATTCAATAACTTAAGTAATGTTTAACAGATTTTAATGAAATTTGATAAGGAAGTACATGGTATTAGAATTCAGCTTACGTTTCATTTTGGAGTATGTAGGTCAAAGTCAAAGTACATAGCTCATTAAATATGGAAGGATACCTAATTATTTATGCAAAAAATGGAATATGATAATAGTTCTCATTAAATGAATCATCTACATGATGGCTGCGAGTTACGAACATTAAGATTGATAAGATTTTTAAATGATATACTCCATCTTCCTCCATTTGTTCGTTCTCCCAATTCTGAATAATAATATGAATGTTTTTACCACCCTCTTCTTTTTCTACTTTCTTTTCCTTTCAAAATTCAATTGCATCTATGTAATAAAGCTGCATTTTCCCTCATTTTTATGTTTGTTTACATATAACGGAGAAGATTTTAACAGTAAAGTTTATCATGGAGTGTTATTTTTCATTACAGGACGAACCGGCAGTCCTCAGCCCCCAACTGGTACCAAAGTGAACAGACGATATGATTCATTGGGTGTTGAATGGGAAGAACCTGAAGGAGACGATGTAACTGGATACAGATTAGAAGCTGGACCTCCTTCAAACCCTCGCCAATTTACAAGGGACTTTGAACCGGGCACAACTAGTGCAGACATCCCAGGCTTAACACCAGATACAGATTATCAGGTCAATTTGTATTCTACCTCCAGATCAGGAGACAGTGAACCTGTAAGAAGGACTGCTAGAACTAGTGAGTCCTTCCCATTCACTTTGTAGATTCAGCAATTTTAAACTATTCAGCATTAAGTATCTTGCATGTACTTACATTGAGATTTAGTTGTCTTTCATCTAAAATATTATACAAATATACACTGCCTTGAGAGGTTCTGGTTAAAACTATGCGCAAGTGGTGACTCCAATAGTACTATTTGCTGAGGGGCGCAGCCCCGAAGCAAATTGTACTTTTGGAGTCACCGAGGCCCATAGTTTAACCAGTACCTTGAATAGAAGGCATGGTATATTTGTTTGATATCCTGCATCAAAAATTTATTTCAAAAAAAAGAGAAAAAAAAAATTGGGGAAAAAATATTTTAGAACAAAAAAATGTCAATTTTTATCTAAAAAGATTTAAATTATTTTGTTTTCATTAAATTAAGATTTGAAAAAAAAAATTGATTCAATTCAAAAAAAAAATTCACATTTTTTTTTTCAATTCCCAAATAGTAAACCAAAATAGTACGCTCATATAGTACTTTCTAAAAATAGGTCAAATATTTCTGGTCATGTGACGAGCTCTCAACCAATCAAAAGCCAACAAATTTTTGTTGCAGGATATAAAAAACCAAAATATCATTTTTATGGTTAATGATCCACATACTATAAAAGTCATACCGTATTTGCCGGCGATAAGGCCGCAGTGTTTTTGGAAGAAAAAATATCAAAAAGTTGAGATGCGGCCTTTACGCTACAACAACAAAATTCAGCGGTCAAAACAGCATGTCCGTTTGAACATATGGGACTATGAACGGTAGGATGACTAGACAATGGTACACGACAATTCTAGAATAACTCCACACAACTTACAGACAATTTTATGATGCATAGTTGACATGAAGACGGAAAAGTTATTTTTCTAATAAAAATCTGCCGATAGATCTAGATCCAAGCCCGTAACATTGCATCGCCAAAATAGTAAAAGAAGGGACAGACCGTTACTTAAGGAGCTAGCAGATGCCGCGCAACGCAACTGCGCAGGTCCAAAACGCAATTCCGGATTACACCGCACATCGTGGTAGGTGTATTGTAGGATACCAAATCTGCCTGCGATACAGTACTAGCTTAAAAATCTATGAAGATCTGCTAAATTACTATCATTTATAAGGTAAACTTCTTGTAAATTTATAAGAATATTGATGAATTTGGTATCAGTTTGTAAAAAAAAAGAGTGTTCTACAAGATCATTACAATTATTTTGTTTGGTCCGTTTTTTTTTTGTTTTTTTTTCCTCTACGAAATGTCAAAGTTGGGGGTGCGACCTATGCGCGCTGCGGCCTTATCGCCGGCAAACACAATATACATTATTGAAACCATGAAGAAAGCATCAAACCTTTGTGAAAATGGTAACAACTCTCTTAAATTCATTTATCCAGGGCCAACACGACGTCCAAAGCGTCCCCAACGCACTAGAGCGAGTTCATCAAGTCCTGATTCCATTGATGTCAACTGGGAAGCACCTACAGATGACAGTGTTGATGGATTCAGAGTTGATGTTGGAACTCCTGCTGATCCACGTAGAGACTTCTCAAGGCGATACCCTACTGGAACAACAAGGGCCTCTATTCCAAACCTAAACCCAGACTCACAATACCAAGTCAGTGTAGTATCCACCTCACCATCTGGAGAGAGTGAACCTGCAAGAAAGCCTGTCAGAACTCGTAAGTGTGCATTCTTTAAGCGTGCTTGCTTCAAACATATTACAATGGTTAACATTAAAAAACGTTTTTATGCTATTTGATGATGCAGAACAAGTGAGCATGGAGATCTGAAATGACCAGCATATTTATCACATCTGTCACCCAAACATGATGAGAGATCTGAGGGCATTTATTTTGAACTAAAGCACCTATAGAATAAATATACATCTTTCAAAGAATAATAATAATAATAATAAACAATATTTATAAGGCGCTTAATACTGGTGTCTCTAAGCGCACCATATTCTGACTTAACAATTATTTACCAAAACTTATAATAAACACACAACTTATACATCTGTTCTTTATTCAATAAATCATGCATATATAATAATTAAAAAAATAAGATAAGAGTGAGATCAAACAAACATACATACAAGAGGTCAAACATAGGATCAAATATAGGATCGAACAAACAAAAAATAAGACGGTGTGCACCTCCTTTGACCGACTCACAACTGCAGAATATTATTTATGAATTAAAAAGGTGCGTTTTCAGCAAGGACTTGAATTGGTCGAGAGAATGAATATTATGAAAGTGCGCTGGTAATTTGTTCCAAAGGATAGGGGCATTTACTGAGAAAGCTCGGTTGCCATATTTTGTAGCGGTACGAGGTCCGAGGGTTAACTGCAAGGTTGATGATGATCGAAGAGGTCTTAAAGAACTAGAAGAACGTAAGGAAATCAAATCTGAAAGATATTTAGGGGCTTGGCCATGGAGAATTTTGTATGTAAGAAGAAGAACTTTGAATGTGATACGATGGTGTATGGGAAGCCAATGAAGAGAACGCAATATTGGGGTTATGTGCTCAAACTTTCTCGAGAGAGTAACAAGCCTTGCAGCAGTATTCTGAATTCTTTGAAGTGGAAGTAGGGACGATTGCGGAAGACCAGAAAAAATTGAATTACAGTAATCAAGGTGGGAGGATACAAATGCATGGGTTAATTTTGCTGTTGTGGGCCGGTCAAGTAGTTTCCTAATTTTCCCAATTTTGAAGATTCCAAAAGATGCCGATTTACATACGTTTTTAATGTGCTGTTGAAAAGTAAGATTTTTGTCGATTAAAACACCCAGGTCTCGAAAGAATAGTTCAGAAAGGTCAAACATTTTGAGTCGGTAATGATTTTGTTCAAAGTTCAGAATTGTGTAATGTGTAATATTATGATATGTTTGTGCATATTATTTGTGATCCAGGAAATAGTCTTCTTTTATGTCAATGGTTAAGCCTATTGCAGTCAAACATATAGCTGATTGTCAATATGAACTTATTTGTTGAAATCCGCAGGAGGCGACGGTACTAGACGCCCCTCCCGTCCAAATGGCATGCAAGTAAGGGAAAGTATCGAGTCAGCGACAGTGAATTGGGAACCTGCAACCAATGACGTAGATGGTTACATTGTCAACATGGGCACTGAGGCCAACCCAAATCAGTTTACACAGCGTGTTCCAAGTGGGGAAAGAAGGAGGTTTAGGCAAGATGGGCTTGAACCTGATACAGATTATCAAGTTTCTCTTAAGTCATTTGATTCAAACGGAGAAAGCGAACCTATTCAAAGGGGCTTCAGGACAAGACCTAGTAAGTATAACAATTGCCCAATGTGTTCAAATAAGAGTTAAAGCCAAGTATAGTTATACAAGATTTTATTCATGTATCATTATTGCATTATTATTAGAGAAAACTATGTAGAAATCAAGACTTATTCAAGTTATGTATTGTAGAAGATAGCATTATGTAATTGTATTGATACTCTGATATGTATGTACTGATGGCTTTGTCATCTGTGTTTGGAAATAGATTAATATTGATAATCTTATTGTGTTTTCAGGACGACCCCAAACCACCAAGTCCCCGACTGGTGTCAGAACAAACCCACGATACGATTCTATGGGAGTGCAATGGGAAGAACCTGAAGATGAGAATGTTGATGGATACAGACTGGAAGTTGGAACACCCTCTAATCCCCGCCAGTTTGTAAGGGAATTTGATCGTGGAACGACGGCTGCCAATGTTCCTGGTTTAGACCCAGAAACAGATTATCAAGTCAATCTAGTATCTACATCTCCATCTGGAGACAGTGAACCTGTAAGAAGGAGAGCTAGAACAAGTGAGTGTTAACTTGTTGCCTATTGGAGTCGAGTGACATAGAGAATTCAGGAGTTTAACAGGTTAATTGTCCTCAGTTTGTAAACATGGAACATGATAAGGGCTCTAATGAAGCATATATGTATATCGTAATTAGCTAATATGATGACATTTCTACCACAACCCAGCAGAAAATTGTGTATGAACTATTCCTGATTATACCCCTCAAGATTCTCTTTTCAACTCTTTCACATCTTCAAAAAGTCCTCTATAGTCAGATTAAAATGGCTCAAAAATCATGTACACATAAGAGAAATTACTTCATTTAGGAAATGCAGATTTCCTCTACAAAAGGTCAGTATATCCAACAAACTTTGAGGCTATAGTGCCTTTAAGCCCCAACTGAATAATATTACTGTAGTCAATAATGTACTTGAAATACGATTCGTGATATCATTATTTCTAATAAAGAATGAAATGAAGAATATAAAGTTTGTAGAAGAGGGGTCAATAAAGATTCAAACTTTACAATGTCCATGAAAGAGAAAAGCATCTGTTCATGTATACTTGTCTGTACTGTGTTATTTAGGGCGAACACGACGTCCACAGCGCCCCCAACGTACGAGAGCAACTTCATCAAGGCCTGATTCCATTGATGTCAACTGGCAAGATCCAGATGATGAAAGTGTTGATGGATACAGGGTAGATGTTGGAACACCATCCAATCCTAGGTCAAAGTTCTCACAGCGAATCCCTCGAGGAACCAATTCAGTCAGTGTTCCAGGCCTAGATGAAGATTCAGAATACCAAGTCAGTGTAGTATCCACCTCACCGACTGGAGAGAGTGATCCTGTAAGAAAGTCTGTCAGAACACGTAAGTAAAATAGTCATGACTCAGACATGGATGTTCAAAGGATTTTGTGCAAATGTTTTGGTCACAATCTTTCAAAGTTTTTATTTCAATTTCCATTTTAAACTTAAGTAAAATTAGGCCCCAGAATTAAGAAACAGCTTGTCATGATGCTCACTTGAGTTAAATAACTGTAGTTCATATTTAGCAAAATTGTGAATGTTTTTGATACATGTAATGTCTTCCTTTATTTTTTGTCTCAGACAACATTGTAAATTTAGAATGAATGCCATTTTGCAAAACATTATCTGTGAAGTGCTCATTCTCTACTTTATAATGATATTAGATATCATGCCTTTAGAAAGATCTCACTACAAATGTCTTTACCTGTATAAGAAAGCACAGTGGATAAATCACTTTTTAAGTTTCTTATAATTTTCAACAATTGTTATTTTTGCAAATTTCATTGAAGTGTGAAATTATCATCAGAACAGCACCTTGTTACAGTAAACCAAAAATTATGAGTTGCTGTATCTTACAGAGAGGCCTAGCCCGCAGCGCATCTCCCCTCCAAATCGCATGCGGTTGGATGAAGAACCTTCTTCTGTGACAGTTAATTGGGATCCCTCAGGAAGTGATAACATTGATGGCTACACTGTCGACATAGGGACCCCAAGCAACCCAACTCAGTTCTCTCAAAATGTTCCCAAGACCACCACAAGTTTAAGGCAAAAGGGCCTTCGTCCAAGTACAGATTACCAAGTTTCTGTCAAGGCATATGGCTCAGATGGGGAGAGTGATCCTATTCAACAAGGGTTTAGGACAAAGCCTAGTGAGTACTGTCAAGATACACTGCAATCATTCTTGCTTGAAGTCCATATTATAGTTTTAGTAACTAAATGGAAATTACCAGCAAGATGAGGAACTTCTTGATTATGGTCCCACAGTGGTCTAGTTGTATTGAAAGATACATTTACATTTATATATTCTAGATAATGGATATTCCATCCATGATTTCCAGTGAATTGTAATGTGAATGGAGGCAGGTCAGTCCCAAAGAAGATTGTACAATCATGTCTGAAACACATATGTAGCATTTTTTACATATAATTGTCACGCAATATCATTTATTTTACATTTACATGTACATGTATATTTACTAAATATTCCTCTTCAATGAGCCCAAATACATTTATTGATTTAGTCCACAGTGGCATATTTGCATATACTGATGCCACCATGTCAATCTGATAAACAACTAAATATAAATGAGTGGAAATAAAGTGGTACAAATATAAAGAGTAAACATAAATTGATATTCCATGTCTCTTTAAGAATATATGAATCGTCCTATTTTAGAAACCCTGCTTTAGATATTAAAATGTGTGATGTACTAACTTGTGAGTGACTTAAATAATATGCAGCTACAAAACAGATGTACACTCATCGTACATTAATTTTGAAATTTTTGAGAAAAAAATCTGCCAAATTAAGCATATAGATATTAAGATATTAATATGTGTTAAGTACTAACTTGTGAGTAACCGTAATAATATGCAGCTACAAAACAGATGTACACTCATCGTACATTAATTTTGCAATGTATTAACCTTTCTCTTATAAATAAATGCTAAAATCAATGTAATGAAATTGCTTATGCATTGTAATAAAAGAAATGCTTATGCTCTATATAAAGAATAAATACTTGAGTGAATTTTTTTAAAATGCATTGAAGTAAAAAAAAAAAAAAAAAAAAAAAAAAAAAAAAATGTTTAAAAATGTTATTGTCCTGTGTTTATTTGTTTGTTCTGTTCATTAAAGAGGTTCATGCAATGCATGATTTTCCCTGATGTACTGAGTTATGAAGGGGACTATGCAACTGGCTCCAGTGTGTGTATGTATATCTATCTGTATGTGGGGGTTTCAAAACCTGTACACAGAACTGTATGTAATCCTGCTGATTAATGCATCTCTCCTTTCACAATCATAATACATGCTTCTTCTCTTATATTCATTACCAATTTTCGTTCTCTCTGTTTCTTGCACTAGTTTTTGTTGGGGATTTTAAACCTTCTTTCAATAATTTTGTGACTTACTATATTCTTGCAAATGTATGCAATTTTATTCACACCAAACAAAAAACTCTTGATACTTTTTGTCCATTTTTCATTCTGAATGTTTTCCCTTATAGGAACAGATGATTAGGTGTGGGCTTCAAAATCTTGTACCTAGAAATCTGTGATTTACTAATGCTTAATGACGCAAATGTATTAATAATTACAAAAAGTGTGTTGTCTCCATAATGCCTAACCAACTTGCACTTTCTTTCTCAATATTTTATCTTTTAAGGCTGAGTGGAGGCTTCAAAACTTCTTCAAATAAATCAATTATGCTATTTTAACTTTTGACTTGATTTTCAAATTTATATGAAATCAACAAAAAGTTCTTCTTTATCCTTATTTTTCAATCAGGTTTTTATTTAATATGTTTATCAAATACAGGGCTAGGTGGGCTATTTAACCATTAATTCTGCACATAATTGGGTATATGCTTACCATAAAGAATGCTTATTTTCCTGTTTTTACTTCATGTAATTGGGACAAATTGTATGATCTATGTATTCTTTTGTTTTAATATCCTTACAACATAACCTGCAAAACAATGTTGCATTTGCAATTTTTTTTACAATAGGCGAGATAATGACATTTTTCTTTTTAAACCATATTAGTTGTGTATATACATTTATGATACCATTATCATGTTAGTGATATGTTTGAGATTGTAATAATTATGTACAGCGCCATGAGCGTCAGAGCCTGGCGATACCGGCGCTATATATAAATATACATATTATTTTTATTATTACTTAAACACAAGAATTCATAGCTTAATCAAAATGAAACATTTTTGTAGAATTCTTTTCCTCACAATATTAAAAAACAATCTAAACTAGATTTAGACAAGATGTACAATGAAGAAATAGATCTAATCTGAGTTTTTAAATCTTTTGCCGATAATGATGTGTGCCACTTATCTGATATCTTATCACAACTTTTGCATTTTACATGCATTATAATTTAGAGTTAGATCTATTGGTCGGTGTGTCTGCGCAAACATACAACAGTGAGGCATCCTCTAATGCAGGTTACATAGTAAGCTGTATTTGGGATGTGTGCTTAGTATTCTACTGAGCTTTTATGGCTTTAGTGCTGTTCGCTTGCCAGGAGCCAGGCATAAAATTCAAATAAAATTCATTTAGAAGAACTATGAAATATTAAGTTACATGGGTACATTTATTTCTAAATAATTGCACAAAGTTATTCTATATCCATTGTTTGTTTGCAGAGCGAAGTCGAGGCCCCAAAGCCCCAACCAACACCAAGGCAAATACACGCTACGATTCAATAGCAGTCAAGTGGGATGAACCTGAAGATGACAGTGTTACTGGATACAGAATGGAAGTTGGGACTCCTGATGAACCTAACCAGGCCTCTTGGAATTTCCCTCGAGGCACAAGAGATTTCACCATTCCAGACCTAGATCCAGATACAGATTATCAAGTCAAATTATATTCGACGTCACCATCAGGAGATAGTGAACCCATCACAAGGAGAGGAAGAACAAGTTAGTGGTAGTGTCAATACTTCAGGAAATTTATGTCATCATCTTGGCCTTGGCCACAATGAAGTGTGAAAAGAGTAATGACCAGCATGAGCCTAGTGCAATATAGCTGAAAGTCCACACTCCAATGTTTGAAAGCAGAAGTACATATGAAGCACCTATCCATGGGAAATGGTTTCCACCAAACAATTTATGTGATGCATAATATGATTATTTTGTGTACTTCAAAATAATTACACTTGTTAAACCTGGGGTAACAGTTTTGCAAACCAAATTATTGATGTGTGCAAAACTGTCTTGCCCATTTGTAATAATAATAACAATGATAATAATTGTAATAACATGTCTTGCTTACCCATGGTAGCCTCATCAATATTAGTACTGTTCTCCTGGAGGGCCCTGCAAGCCAATTATATTATTACCCTAGCTTTAGCCAACCTGGCATGATATGGCACCCAAGTATTCAAGGAATTTATTTTCTTCTACTGGGTACCTGTTTACTACACCTGGGTGGAAAATGGCAAATGTAGATTAATATCTTGCCAAAGGACATTAGTAATACCAACTTTTATGAACAGCTTGAAGCAGGCCATTTTGTTGGTCTACTGATACATTTATGTTATGTAATCGGCAGAAGTTGATATTCAAAAGTTGAGCAGGTAATTGTAAAGGTTTATTCTTACAATATCCTATAGGACGCAACCGACTTCCAAAACGCCCAGCCCGTTCTCGAGTGAACCCAAGCTCTGATTCTCTGGATGTAAGTTGGGATGAAGCAAAAGGAGACAATATTGATGGATACAGGGTGGATGTTGGAACTCCTTCTAACCCAAGACAGTTCACACAGCGAATTCCTCGTGGAACAACAAGGGCATCTTTCCCAGGTCTAGACCCAGACACAGATTATCAAGTTAACATAGTATCTACTGCAGGAGTTGAAGAAAGTGAACCATTAACAAAGGCTGCTAGGACAAGTGAGTGTAACTGTTATTGGCATGCATGTTTTCTGTATTTATGAGATTGGAAGATGGTGCCAGAGGCAGTGTATGCCTCCTTTGTCACCCCACTCTCTGTATATATGACAAACAAATTCGTTTTTTTTATTTAATCAAACATTGCTCCTCAAGCACACATATATGATATGATCAATGTACATGAACTCCAGTGTTCTGAGCGTAATAGCCTCTTCAGCTTAGAGTAACATTATTTAAAGAACCTTGGCAAAAGGGACATGTGAAAAGAGTGTTGTTTGGAGAAACATGTAAAGAATCTAATTATGAAGGGGTCAGTTGACAGGACAGCTGGCCAATCATCGGTGCATACTCACTATAATCTCCGCCCTGTTGTATAGCTTTTGTACGATAAGACATTCAGACGAGAAGGGACCCTAATTCTTTATTGAGTTTGTTCGAAAATGTGTGTTTCGCTGAAAGTCATTTTGTAATGACAGCAATTTGTTATATGGTGTTCAGACTAGACAAAAATAATTACTTATCACGTAGCTGCATGTATACGATGGGACTTTCGGTAGTCTTTGTAACAGTTTCTACGCCTAAAACTGAGTGAAATGAAAAATATTGTATTGTATTGTTAGAAAGTCATATGTACAAAGCATCTTATTTAATATAGTAGGCATTTTTTAAGAGATACAGTTATTTGAGAAGTAAGATTTTTTTTTCTTTTTTTCTACAAAAATCCCCAAACAGTAATAATTGAGACGGGCCAAATAGTGATTGCAAATTTCATTTCTTAATGTAGCTTTCAATCTATTTTATGTCCACAGGAGCAGCTGGGTCCAGACCAAGTCCAGGAGGAGCAGCAAACTCTCCTCCAAATGGGATGCAAATCAGAGAAGGTTCTGATAGAGCTACAGTCAACTGGGAACCTGCAACAAATGATGTAGATGGTTATGTTGTCAACATGGGCACTGAGGCCAACCCAAATCAGTTTACACAGCGTGTTCCAAGTAGCGAGAGAAGGAGATTTAGGCAAGATGGACTTGAACCTGAAACAGATTATCAAGTTTCTATCAAATCATTTGATTCAGAAGGGGAAAGTGAGCCTATTCAACAAGGCTTCAGGACAAGGCCTAGTGAGTATAATAACATTGATAATATGTGTGTCATTTTAGTATATACTTGACTTGAAATTATTAAGTGAAACTGTTCTTTTCACTATTTCTGGACATTTGCTATTGCTATTATTTCACTGTATGCATGGCTCTGCTCCGCAGTACAACATCAGCTTAATTAGGCATTACTTTCCTTCTAGACAGCTATGTTCTCAAAACTCTGGCTTACTTGTTACTCCTAGGGTTAAAACAAAGTGGGGGGGAGCAAACCTTCGCTCATGCTGGGCCTTCATTATGGAATACTCTCCCCCAATGGATTAAGAATAGCAGCTCTGCTGAAGTGTTAAAAAACAATCTTAAGAAATATCTGTTTAATTTAGCTTATAATTGATTACCATAACCTTTCATGTCTGTACCTTTCCTATTGCACTTTGTATAAATGTATCATGTACATATTTCATTTCTTGCACAAGCTGCGCCTTGAGCATTTGACTGTCAAGTGGATTTGGCGCCTTATAAATCTTATGTATTATTTCTTTATTGATCTGTACATATAAATATATTTGCTTACGATTTCATTTTTGTGTAAAGTTTAATGAACATTTTACTCTATTTAGTCTGTCCACTTCATAATTCTTGGTCTGTGTTCTGCATTATTATGAAGCAATAGAAAATCATGCAATGTATCAAAACTTCTATGAAATTACAAACATGAATAACCTGTCATTTTCTTGTAGGGCAATCCACAAGCCCAAAGCCCCCAACTGGTACCAGAGTGAACAGACGATACGATTCATTGGGTGTTGAATGGGAAGAACCTGAAGGAGACGATGTGGAAGGATACAGATTGGAAGTTGGAACTCCTTCTAATCCTCGGCAGTTTACAAGAGACTATGAACGTGGAACAACCAGTGCTGATATCCCAGGCTTAACACCAGATACAGATTATCAAGTCAATCTAGTATCTACCTCCCCATCTGGTGAAAGTGAACCTGTAAGAAGGAGTGCTAGAACAAGTGAGTGTTTGTTTCCTATTATTTGCAATGATGTGATCTATATACAGGTAAATACATGTTCGTACGAATACAATTGTTGTACATTTTTTGTTATGTCTATTTCGAATATATCATACTAAAATAATTCATTAAAAAAAAAATAACTGGTGTTAAAAAAAGACTATTCATAGTAAAGACATAAATGCTATAAAATTGACTAAAAATTTCTGACATAAATTAAATAAAGCGACCACAAGTACCGACCACATCTTTAGCCTGCAGCCACCCTAGGTTCGTCCGTTCATACGTCACTGCACTTTCGCAGCACTTTCGAAACAATGGCTACGTACACATACCGGTACTAATCGATGTAGTTTGGGTTTAGTTCTCCTTTAAGATACTATTGATCATTCTGACTTGAGAGTGAGAGTAATTTAATTGTGTCATGATCGTCTAACGACTGAAGAAAATGCATCCTTGAACATGTAACAATTTATGTTGAGTGTCAGTATTAGTATTTGTACTTTAACAAGCCACAAATTCCTCTCAAGTTATAGATTTCCATAAGACCTAACAAAAAAAGATTTTGTATTGCTCTTTAGGTGCCAAAGCACGGGTCTGTTGGTCTGAAATCGTTTTTTATTATTTTTTTGTTGTTGCTCCCTCTTTGGGCTGATATTCCTTAGTTTTGAAAGCTTTAATACATTTTTTTAAAAAAAATTTAAATTCAAAAAGCCGACAGTAGATTTCAAGATTTTTAGGTCGGTCGCAAAGGGCATTACAACGTCTTTTTTTGTTAGACCTAACTAGAGTGGTATTTAAAAAGAATATTCATACCAGTATTGTCAGTAGGAGAGCATCATATCGTCCTTGTTTTCACGAAGTGACAGTAGTGAGGAAAATCGTAACGCAAAGTGAATGCAATTTTTTTTCACTACCGTCACTTCCTGAAAACAGCGACGATATGTGGCCAGAAGTGGTATCTAAACTCTTGAATTAATTCATCCAGGACCAACACGGCGTCCACAGCGCCCCCAACGTACGAGAGCAACTTCATCAAGGCCTGATTCCATTGATGTTAACTGGGAAGATCCAGATGATGAAAATGTTGATGGATACAGGGTGGATGTTGGAACGCCATCTGATCCCCGGTCAATGTTCTCTCAGCGAATCCCTCGAGGAACCAATTCAGTCAATGTTCCAGGACTGGATCCAGATTCAGATTACCAAGTCAGTGTAGTATCCACCTCACCGACTGGAGAGAGTGAGCCTGTAAGAAAGTCTGCCAAAACACGTAAGTTTGATTGTTGTTCACAAGCAGTGGCTACAATTCTTTAATCATCATTTTGACCAAGAGGTGTACAATACCAGAACGGTATGGATTGTGTGCCATCCGTATCTTAAATATTGGTCTTTGAGTCGTATATGAGAAACATGTAATGGCCTCATTCAAGATGTAGCATGCAGTTGAAGAACAGGCAATTGTTCAATGGCATGGGCTAAGTAAATCAATATCTTGAATAATTACAGTGTACTGTACTTAATAGTCATTAATCTCTTCCGTGTTATGGGCAACAAATCCCACCAAGAATATGACTGTTTAACCCTATGTTAACTGGGGGGGGGTCAATTTGACTCCCCCCTGTAGAAATTTCGCGACTACTCCGAAACCGCGGCAGATATAAAATTTTCCTTTCACGACTTTTTACTTTCGAGTCTTATGCATCTTTAAAACCGATTTTTTCGAAAATCGGACCTACGGTTACAAGGTCACGTGACCTTTTGTCTTAGCATGTCAGCCCGAAAATCGCTCATTTTCGTGATTTGTGTACAAATTGTATGTAAAAGTCATTTTTCCTAAAATAGATAAAAACATTCGTTATTCAGTCTTGTTTAAAGTTTAGATGTTTGTTTTGGGGTCAAAATAGTTGAATTGTAGTTATATATGAAATAAAACAACAAAAACAATAAAATACATAAGTTAAAAAAACAATGAAATACATAAGAAATTATAAAAACAAGAGATAACATAAGGAATAACCTGGCTCTTCCAATTTTTTGTGTTGTATTATTATTCCAAATGGTCTAATAAATTTATGTAGTGAAAAAGAATACGTAAACATGAATAATCTATGATTTATGGGCAGAAATGTGAATTTGATGACCTTATTTGCATAAATTACCATAAATATGCAAATGAGTGAATTTTTCAAAAATTTGAAATTACCATAGTATTCTATACACTTCACTTGACATGCATGCAAATTTTCGCGGCGATCGGCGGTGAAACAGCCGAGATCTTAGGGGGGGGGTCAAATTGACCCCCCCCCTCCAGTAAAAACCTGGTCTGAAATAGCCCAGTTAAAATAGGGTTAATATCATGTTTAGATTAAGAAGGTCTACTTTTCTCTTTCTGAAATAGGAATGGGTGCCTTCATTGTGAAGTTTATGTCAATACAGGATATTTAATGCAGAATTAATAATGAGATGACACATAGTAACATTTTTGCTCATGAAAGTGTATTGGTGATAAACTGTCCAAAATCCAGGTGGCAAAGCAAAGATTCTAAGCATATTTATACCGTAAATCTCTGTGTATAAGACGCACCTTTGTATAAGACACACTCATATTTTTTTTTTTGGGGGGGGGGGGGGGGAGGGAATCTTTTATTTTTTATTTTTTTGTTCAAAAATGCACCCGGGGAAGGACCTTTATTTTACTGCGAGATGCAGTTGAAGGCGCTGATTTGTTATTGTGAACTTGTCACAAATAATGGTAACAAAGTCCAAACAAAAATCCGGCCATACAGGTAGTGTTGTTGTTGTTCAATCCTACAGTTCGATGCTGTGCCATCACTATAACCTAGGTGACAAATAGTGAGAGTACATTACTCTGGCAACTTTGTAACCTGGATTACAGATTATATAATCTAATATAGTTTTACTGTGCCACTTCAAATAACTTCCTACAGTATCTTACTGTGACTGTATTGGTGCGAGTGGTGAGTCAACACACCTTGTATGACTGAGCTGGGAGACATTGCCAGGCACAGTGCAGGTAAAGGGAGCATAAATCGACACTTAAAAAAAAAAAAAAAAAAAATTGTATACCTGTGTATAAGACGCACTCCCGATTTTCATATAAAACAAAGTTTGTACATGTATACTGTACTCATAATTTCAGGTTTGGTGAAAGTTCTGTCAGGGTGTATTCATGTTCTTTTAACTCCAAACTCGAAGAAAGTGTCTCACTTTATTAAAGTTTAATGTACTTGTACATGTGATGGGGTCAATAATCTGTTACTTCTTTGGTGTGTACAGGGCGCAGTGGTTCTAGAGGATCTTCCCCTCCGAATGGCTTACGTTTGAACGAGGATGCCGATTCAGTGGATATCAACTGGGGACCTTCAGGCAGTGATAACATCGAGGGCTACATCGTCAATGTTGGGCCCCCTGACAACCCAACTCAGTTCTCTGAACGTGTTCCAAAAACAACCAGTTTCAGGCAAACTGGGCTGCGTCCTGATAGGGATTACCAGGTGTCTGTCCAAGCTTATGGCCCAGACGGGGAAAGTGAGCCTGTTCGACAAGGTTTTAGGACACAGCCTAGTGAGTAATGAAACACACATGTAATATGTGTGCTGTTGCTTCTTTTTATAACAGGAACTCTATTTAATTCTTATTCTTGTTTTGTTATGTATCCTAAAAAATAAGTGTGCAAAAAGAACAAGAGCATCATTTTAAAGAAATTATGTGTTATTTTGATAAGCAATAGAAAAATTTCTGAATTATTGTGAACTCATTCATTGTAAATCATACATGCATTATACATTATTGCTAGCATACAAAGTATTATCCAATTTATACTATCTGGAGTTCTTGGTTAGTTAAGACATCAATCACCACGGTTTCTTTCATTCTTAAATGTAGGTCGTAGCCGAAGCCCTAGGCGCCCAGTCAACACAAAGGCAAACCCACGCTATGATTCAATAGCAGTCAGATGGGATGAACCTGAAGATGACAGTGTTACTGGATACAGAATGGAAGTTGGAACTCCATCTGATCCCAACCAGTTCTCAATGCCATTTCCTCGGGGTACAAGAGATTTCACTATTCCAGACCTAGACCCAAGTACAGATTATCAAGTCAAATTGTATTCCACCTCACCATCAGGAGATAGTGACCCTGTCACAAGGAGAGCTAGAACAAGTAAGTGCAGAGGATTTGTTGGGGACCTTGACACCCAGAAGTTGATTGTGTTATTTATTCACAAGCTATTAGCTGTAGTACAGGCCTTCACAAAGTGCTATCCAGTGTTTGATACTGTGTGCGAAATTTAATGTGGTTGGATTAGCGACTGGATAGAATACTCCCCAGGGAGTGGAAAATGTGCATACATTGTGTTGCGGGTAAGCCTGAATCCGGTGACCGGGGTAATAATATGTTCCACGCCTAGAAACAAAGTATTAGGCGCATTATAAATGTGAGCTATTATTAGTATTATTATTGTGCAGTTTTAAAATTTGATAAAACTGATAATTGAAAAATGACAAGCGCTTCCACGATTTACCTGGATAACCTCTTCATTATTCAAAGTGGGGCCCTCATGTTAGAGCCCCTCTGAAATGTTGGGAACCCTAAATTTGCCAAAAATTTGATTGCAAAATTTCACTTAAATTGTATGATAATGTGAAAGAGAATGTCGTTTAAGACACACTTCTGCAAAGATTTCCCTCTCCCCGCAAAAAGCATTTGAAGACAAATATTGATAAAACAAGTCATAATTTGGGTTTTCTGTTGTAGACAGAAAACCTAATTTTTTTATTCTTTCATTAATATTCGACTTCAAACACATTTGTTTTGAAAATCCTTGCGGAAATGTATCTTAAATGACATCCTCTTTCACATTATGATACAATTTAAGCGAAATTTTGCCATCTAATTTTTGGGTCTCCCAACACTTTAGAGGGGCTTCAAGACAACAAGTAAAGGAAAAAATTGAACTTTAGCCTATCTGTCATTAATTATAACCTAACTGGCGAAGTCAGAGGGGATATAGTAACACTGCCGTCCGTCCATAACAAATCCAGAAAAATAATTTTATCCCTTTGTAGCAGTTACATATAATGAAGGCGACAACTCTGAACCATGGATGATTTATCCAGACAGTGTTGTTGAAATGGCGTAGGGAAATTTTAATCTAGAAAATATTATATCGAATATTACAAAAAATGTTTCAAAAGTAAGGTTTCAATTGTGTGATGAAGCTATCAGATTTGCAAATATATCAAATTGATAATGATTACTCCATATTCTATTGGAAAGAAAAGGTCACATTTTCAAAATATGCAGTTCATTGTAGATGTTATTCAAACTTGTTTATCCAGGGAAAAATCGACTGCCCAAAAAACCATCTCCTACAAGAGTAACCCCTGGCGATGATTCTATTGATGTAACCTGGGGGCAACCAGAAGGAAGCAACATCGCTGGATACAGGTTGGATGTTGGAACTCCCTCTAACCCACAACAATTCTCAAGGAGACTCCCTGCTGATGCAAGAAGTCTTTCTGTGGATGGCCTAGACCCTGACACAGACTACCAAGTCAATCTTGTATCTACCTCACCAGATGGAGAGAGTGAACCCGTAACAAGACAAACTCGAACAGGTTCCGGTAAGTGTGGCCTGCCTATAGCTAGTCAGATGGTGACTGAATACCCATTTAGACCTAGTTTTGAGGTTTGGGAACAAAAGGGGTAAATAGAGTACTATGATTTTTTTTCTCCGGTATTTATCATGGTGAATGTCGGAGATCCCAACCAGAATAGATTATAACATAGGGCTGAATAAAGTGCACCAGTGTCATATATATGGTTACAATTTATTAATATTTCAATTTATTTATGATTTATTTGGCAATTTCATTTGTTATAGATGCCACATTTTTAATAAAGGTAACATGAATAGATGAATAAATTGTCAAAATTAAGTGTAGTTCTGGCAAATAATGGGAGAAAGTTTATCTTGTACAGACTAATGTACAGTATCAAAATATGGTAAGTGGACAAACATCTTCTGAAATTCTTCGTATTTAGCAGTACATTTTCATCAACGTGGAGAAATAGGAATATCGATCAAATCAAACCAACTTATGAATAATCTAAATATGGGAAATATGAGGTAATTCTATCATAAATTATATTCCCAAACATCAGAGAGATCATGATGAAATGAAAATGAAAAGTTATTACGTTATGTAGTTATTGGAAAAGATAAAGAGGACAGCTTTTATCCAAGAGCAGGCGTTTCTGCCTTTATTAAACTTTTTTGAGTGCTTACCAAGCAAGATATTAATCTTCCTCTTGTCGAAAGCACCACAAAATGTCTTGAAAGAGTACACATGCATCAACAGAACAGGAACCTTGACCCGGTAATACCAAACAGGTAAGCTATTCACTCACTCTTGTAACCCATGCTGCATGCTGGTGATATTAACACTATTACAGATGGTATTGATTTACACTTTCACTGTACATTTCATCTTACTAGTGCAACAGGTCAATGATTTGAGGGATCTGTCATTTCACCTAATTGGAATGCTGGACAGATACTGGCTATAGTTTGTATAAGTCTAGAACTTTGCTTGATGATAGTGATAGAGAGAAGATATGCTGTAATATGGAGGAAAGCACTATTGCAGTTTGCTTTAACAGAACGGATGGTAAACCACCATTGCCTTGGGCCTGCTTGTCTTGAAAAAAAAAATTGTGAGTCAGTAGCCATCACCAACCAAGATGTCGGATGACTTCAGACATGTGTTTTGGAAGTCGCATTTTTTTTGGACATCGGGCAAACCTCATCCTCTGAAAAGGATGCCTGGAAGCAATTTAGAAATTTGCTTGCAATTTCTTGAGGTCCAAAAAAATCTTTGTTATTAACAACTAGCTAATGCAGAGAAGCCGGTTATGTTCCTTTTATGCTCTCTAATGAATGAAATCAGTTTTTTTTGTCAGGGGGAGTAAAGGAGTTAGACTTCTGTATGCTGTTCTGATGGCAAACCTATAGTCTTCTCATGCAGCTAATTCCTAAAGGAGAGCCAGTCTTCACCTACGTTTTACTATTCAGTGATCATGGTTTTCACTTCTTGTATTTATTCATAGTTCAAGGGATGGCATGCTTCTTGACTACCATTGTTTTAAACAATACTTCAAAGATTTAGCCAACAAGCATGTACTTTAATTGATAATACCAACTAAATGGATAGTGTTGTTGATTTGAAAATCATGATAGCTGGTGATGAAACTGCTCAGCCAGGTATTCCAGAAACACCGTCTGGAGTAGATGTCACATCAGAAGGCAACAACCTGAGAGTAAGTTGGAACCCTCAAGAAGGCGCCACTGGCTATATTGTGCGAGCTGGAAGGGCATCCAGGGGATTTCCACCCAATGAGGTTGAAGAGAGAGTGAATAGCCGCAAAGACCAGATTCTACTGAGAAATCTGCAACCAGATACAGACTTTGTGGTGACTGTCAGTTCTGTCAACCAAGCAGGAGAGAGCAGGCCTGCCAGGGCAACCGGCAGGACTGGTAAGTTTGTTTACAGTGTATTATAGTATTACATGTACAAGAGAGGTAATGAATGAGCTAGCCTTCATTATAATTATGATAGATAATTTTATGTAAGATCATGCTGTTAATATCACATTGTCAGATGGAGTAGTTCTTTATAAATGATTTATAGGCTTTTGTAGACAAATGCACTAATGTGGCCTACATAATTCATTGCATCTTTCCAGAACAAGCGCTTCCGGGTAGGCCAGAGGGTCTGGCTGCAGAGACCACTTCGACCAGTGCTACTCTGTCATGGAGGGAACCAGGGACACTTATTGATGGATATCAACTTACACTAGGAACTGTTACATTCCCAGACATCTTTTCAAAAAAGCTGGGACCCAATACAAATGAATACACATTTGAAGACTTGGATCCAGACACCATATATACAGCTGAGTTGACAAGCCTTAATTCTGCTGGGAGTTCAATGCCTATCTCTGCTAAACTCAGGACAGGTTGGTTATAGATGATTCTCTTCTTTTCACCACTCTAATAAAATGATGACACACGTCTGGCTTGCCATTCAGCCTCCACCATTGGCCCACCATTAAGCATCAACCATCGGTTTACCATTCATCATCCACCATCGGTCTACAATTCAGCATTTACCTTTGGCCTTTCTTTCTTCATCCATCATTGGTCTACCAATTTCACCATCCACCATTGGTCTACTATTCACTATCCACCATGGCACCACTGTTCACCATCGATCATTGATCTACCATTCTCCATTCACAATCGGTCTACCATCCACCATCCGTCATTGGTCTACCATCCACTATCCATTGTTGGTCTACTTTTACCAACCAATATTTTCTCTTCTTGTATGTGTCAAATCATTGGATGAAATGTATTGCTGTTGGTAAATAAATCAAATCAAATTTCACCATCAATCATTGGTCCTCCATTCACCATCCACCATTGGTCTACCATTCATAATATATCCATCATTGGTCTATGTACTTTTTATCATTTACCATTGGTCTACCATTTACCATCCATCATTGATGTACATTTCACCATCCGGCATTGGTCTACCATGCACCATCCATCATTGATCTACATTTCACCATGCACCATCCATCATTGATCCATCCGCCATTGGTCTACCATGCACCATCCATCATTGGTTTACATTTCACCATCCGGCATTGGTCTACCATGCACCATCCATCATTGATCTACATTTCACCATGCACCATCCATCATTGATCCATCCGCCATTGGTCTACCATGCACCATCCATCATTGGTCTACATTTCACCATCCGCCATTGGTCTGCCATGCACCATCCATCATTGATCTACATTTCACCATCCGCCATTGGTCTACCATGCACCATACATCATTGGTCTACATTTCACCATCCGCCATTGGTCTACCAGTTACCAACCATCATTGGTCTACATTTCACCATCCATCAATGTTCCACCATTTGCCATCCACCATTGGTCTACGATCCACCATCCACCATTGGTCTACATTTCACCATCCATCATTGGTCTACATATCACCATCCATCATTGGTCTACATTTCACCATCCGCCATTGGTCTACCATGCACCATCCACCATTGGTCTACATTTCACCATCCACCATGGGTCTACCATGCACCATCCATCATTGGTCTATATTTCACCATCCACCATGGGTCTACCATGCACCATCCATCATTGATCTACATTTCACCATCCGCCATTGGTCTACCATGCACCATCCATCATTGGTCTACATTTCACCATCCACCATTGGTCTATGATCCACCATTGATCTACCATCCGGCCATCCATCATTGTTCCACCATTTACCATCCACCATTGGTCTACATTTCACCATCCACCATTGGTCTATGATCCACCATTGATCTACCATCCGGCCATCCATCATGTGTCTACATTTCACCATTCTACATAGGTCCATCATTCATCATTCACCATTGGCCTACCATTTGTCATCCTCAACTGCTACCATTTGAATACATGGTTTACTAATGGTGCCACCATTCAAATACCATTCATTAAGGATTGGACATTTCATATCATTGTCATATCACTCCATGTACATGCTCTCATCATTCAAATGCCATGTGTCACCATTCATTCACAGTTGATCATTTAAGGTGCGGATGCCTACTTTAAACTAACATGAAAGTATGCATTTGAAGAAACAAAATTGAACTTTTTAAGTTTTCTGATTTTATTTTGAATTTACTCTTACAAGCTACTTCAAATTTTGATGTGAATTGTTCAGCTTAATGAATATATGCTGATGTATTTGGAACTTTCTTGGGAGCTACATTTCTCCAATTTGTACATGAATTACATTAGTGCAAAGTGAAAATAAGAATATTTACATGGTGACATAGATTCAGGCATACTATAAAACAAATTTAAGTTTCTTTGATTATTCAAATGCGAGCATTAAAACATTGTTCCAACATGAGGCAATAAATGACTTCAATATCTTGCCACAACTAATTAAGAAAATAACAAAAGACAATGGTTGTAAAAGCCAAAAGAGAAAAAAAGTCCTTGGTCTGTGTGCTATACACTAGGCCTAAAATAAAAACTTGTTGTATTGCCCTTTGCAACTGACCCAAAAATCTGAAAATCGGTTGGCATTTAATTTTTTTTAATTTTTTTTTTAACCGTTTTTTTTAGATTTTTTTTTTATTAATGAATAAAAAAATATGCTTTTTTTTTGTTTAAATGGGATATAAATGCATTCAAATTAGTAGTACTATTGGAAGTATGTCTAGGAAAAGACAGTAGAGTAATTGTGTTAGTTACATTCCACACCAAAGAACCAGGTCCAGCTCGTAGCCCTCCTGAAGCTCCAAGCAGGATGGAGCTGACAGCCACTCCCAGCCGCATCAACATCCAATGGGAGCCTTCCAGGGGAGATACCACTGGCTACAGGATTAGGCTGACTGACCCTGCTACAGGAGAAACTGATACTGTGGAGGTGGACCAATTTCAGCAGAGTTATGCCTTCGTTGACCTTGATCCAGAGAAACAGTATGAGGTGTCCATCGAGTCCTTTAATGATGAAGGTTACAGCCGGCCACAAGTGGATCGTGTCACTACAGGTGCACATTTTGAAGAATATATTTCTTCAACTGCAGTGTTTATTTGCAGAATTTATTGTTTGTCTATCAAAACCCAACATTTAGAGTTTTAAATCTCTCAAGAGGAGTTTTCAGATTTTGAAATATATGTAGGATTTTGGCCCCACAAGCAATGTTAGTTTGCCCGTTGATGAGGCTGATAACTCGTACACAGAATCCGATATAGTCTTTTAAGCTAATGTGTGCCAGAAGGTGCTTAAACAAGACCCAGCAGAAAAGAACAAGCATAACATAATTTTACCATGTAATATATTATTGTCCGTAATAATTTCCTCATGTAGAAGCAACTTTTCCCCACCTTTTTTTTCCTTTGAAGTCGGGCCCAATATAACACAGGTGCTAAATTTGCTAATGCTAACACTCACACAAAGTTTGTTCCTGCAAAATAACTAATTCCTAATACAGTCTTAATAGCAGTACAGTCTTCATGGACCCAACCCTTGTTTGAATTATTATGAAAGCAACAGTGTTTTAGAAAGCAGAAGTGCAGTTTAACACCATTTTTTTATTTTTTTATTGATCTATATGTATTATATAATGTATTAGTCTTTTGTTTTAAATCATTGGATCATGTCGATAAACAGGAGCATTGCCTGGTGGTAGTGAGCAACCCCAGAATGTGGACATTGTTGCCACGGGAACTCGTATCGATGCCCACTGGAACCCACCTGTGCTTCCAGGAAATGCTCGCCCCCACAGTTACCTAGTGATTGCTGAAGCTGTAGATGGAGAAGGCAACGTCCTTGGCCCTAGGGAAAGCATCACATTGCACCATTCACAAACTGAATACACTTTCACAGATCTGCTGCCAGCCACAAGATATGTGGTATCTGTGCATGCAAACATTGGAGGAGAGGTGACTAATCCAATTTCCCAAGAAGTTATCACTACCATGGGTGAGTATTCTAACCATGCATGAGCTCCCTAATTTCTTATCTAATTCAATAAATAACTTTTTTATCTTTATGTCAGTGTGCTATCTTATGCTACGTTGCTTCTTTATCGAGCCAGAACAAAAAATATAACTTGCCACTAACTTCAGCAGCCTACCTGCTTTTGACCTCAAGGTTGAAAACTTGAAACCTAGAAACCCATTGTCCTTTTGCTAATGCTCTTATAGCTCAAGCTAAGTAATGGATTTGTGACTAAGAAATTATGTGTAATCAACGTTTCTCTCCAGTCAAAGTTGTGAACAGCCATGCCTTAATAAGTTGTAAGGTTAAACCTAACATCTATTGCCATTGGAGCATTATCATTGCTTTTCGTGGTGGCAGAGGTGGGATACTTTGAAAAGACTGGTGACTACAGATCTGCTGCTTGACAGCTGCAGGATACCAGCTCTACCAGTGGAACTGTGCCCATGCAATGGGGTCCTTGAACTGATACAAACCACAAGAGAGGAGCTTTTTACTAATGCAGTTGTGCTAATATTAGGTAAAACTAGAAAAGGCTTGGATAACGCTACTGTGTAAATGGAGAGCATCTTTTGAAACCCCAAACCGCATAAGAGTGTATGAAACCAACACTTTTGATGACTAATTTCAGTCCAAAAATATTATTTTGCTAATACCGATTTCAATAACAATTGATTATTGATATCAATTGAGACAATTCTGAGAATAACTGATTTTGAAACAATATTAACAAAAAACAAATTATAGGTATTGTCAGTGTTCATACCACATATCTTTGAAATCTACCATAATTTCTTTCCCTAATAATTAAACCTCCTTCCTACTCTAGCTCAGTCCCTAAGCTAACCAGAAAGAAAGAAAAAAGAACTCAAAACACTAATTATAATTACTAAACGTTATACCAAACTAATGATAGTTCTGTTCATTCTTTCTTGAACTGCCTATGAAATCCAGACTGATTTCAGTAATAAATTTCCTCAAACTCTCTTGTTTATAGAAACAAAGAAACAAACCAACTTCAGTTCTGATACAATGGTTTTGCTCCAGTCTACTGGCTCCACCTCATCAAACCAGCTGACAAGAAGTCCACTACTGTAGTGAGCAGATTGAGTTGAAGTAACTAGTCATGCCATCAGCATTTGTACAACAAGTTACATAATTTGGTTCTAGATCTGCTCTGCTACCATTTCTGCCCTCTTACCAGTTTTGCTGTCTGGTTCTCCTAGCAAGCTCTGCCCTGTGGTATATACCACACTTGCTATTTGGCACTCTAACTAGTTTTGCCCAGCTTCAATTGTTTCTAATACCAGTGGTTATAATACATGTACCAGCTTTGCGATTTGATTACCAACTAATTCTATGCAGAAATCAGTGGTTGTACATTGTAGTAAAAGGGCTCTATTGCATCAAACTTAATATTGATGGTAACTTTTAACCAATATTAACTGATCAATAGCCAGTCAAATCAAGTTTTCCATGGAAGTTACATTAATAGCAAAGTTAATAATAATAATAATAATACAGCATTTATTATGCTCCACCGATGTAGTAAACTATTATGAGGCACAGAGGGATAGAATTAGGATGAGATACATAGAGAAATGAGAAGGGGGAAAAAATGCATAGATGTACATTCAACATATAATTAACTAAAATAACATGCAAACATACATGACTTTAGATTTTTTTATAAATGTTTCTAGGGATTCTAGTGATCGGATCCTCAGTGGAAGAGCATTCCAAAGAGATGGCGCTGCAGAAATAAACGTCTTTTCTCCCATACTAGACATAGTTCTTTGGACTGTTAACTGTTCAGTACCAGAAGTCTTATGCAATGGGACTAGGTTCCGCATTCAGTTTATACTAGTTCTGCCCTGCTACCAGTGGTTCTAGGACAAATTCTGCTATTTGGTTCTCCAACTAGTTCTCAGGGTTCTAGAGTAAGAGATTAGCAGTAAACAAATTCAAAATTTGTGAATACGATTTTGTTAATGATGATGATAACTAACAATTCATATCTTCCATGTAAATCTGACTTTTTCTTCATTTATGAAGGACTAATGAAAAAAATCAATCAGCCATATCAAATAATGCCTCGTTACAATTTGAAAATTCAATACATTCATGGGCTCCAGTTTGAAATGGAATACCGTAAATTTAGATATCTGGCTTTTATTTTCAACTTGAAATTTCATACAAATATTACAGAGCATAAATATATGAAGTCTGATTTTGAGACGGTTTTGAAAGTGGTTGTAAATATCTATCCCAAACAACTTTTGATCAAAAAGGTTTTCTTTTTGGCATTCGCCAAAAGTCTGCATTGAAGGGAGATAATTAAGGGGGTTAGAGAGAGAGAGAGAGTAGAGACATGTGCTCCAGCAAGTCTGGAGCATATGGTCTGAGTATATGTATGCAGCTGTTGAGTATTGTTTTAACCAAAATTGGTGTGGGGCACATTGGGGTATCATTCAACATTTGCGATGTAAATTTACTGCTTTTTGTTTGGAACTGTTCTTAGAATTAGATAGACTTCGGGCGATTATTTGACTTAAAAAGATTGACTAATACAGAGGACAACATTATAAACTTTGTCCTTAAAACCTTGTAAACTAATCGCTGAACCCAAAGTAACTAGCCTAAATTGTGTCGTTTTGTTATCCTGGCTTTCTGCAAATAAATTAATACCATCAAGTAAAACATATTTGATAGTAATTTATATTGACGCAGTATCGGCCCTATGGATTTCCAACTCCATGAATAAGGTATTGTCAATGTGTCTACCTGATATCTCCAAGATTGAACAGCATATTGAGAAGAAAATATAACGTACACATGACAGGTAGCTTGTTTTATTGAAGTGAATCCCAAGAATCACATGTGATTCTCTCATCCACGAAATAGAACAACCTACAATGTCCTGTCTTGGCTCAATCCTGTTGTCCGTGCTTCTCTCAGCACGTTAGTCATGGTCTCCAATATATGGCTTGAGTGTGGCCCAGGTCATTGTTGCAGATTTCAACTAAATGTTCAAATAGAGGAGTGCACTCTGTGGTAAGTGGCAAGTTATCTCTTTTAATCTGGCTCAATACTGAAGTGGCATAGCAGTGACATTCTATAAGACTGGTAGGTTTTACTGTGTAGATAAAATAACCACAGTTTATTATCCTTTTTCCATTATTAAGTCCATTCATGTCATTCATCCTTCATCAGTCTATTTAGAAGATATGCACAGATCTAGGTACTGCTTTCCCAACAGCAGCGTTGATGGCGATCAAGAGCACTAGCTGTCCCATTTATCGGTTAAGTTTTTTGATGAGGATTTGTGTATGTTGAGTCAAAAAGGTATAATTGCAAATTGTAAACTGGGTGAGAATGCTCTTTAAAGAATATTGGCAAGTCTTACGCAGTCCTTTTTTCCTCTGTTACTGTAACAGATAGACTAAGTAATAATGCCTGTCTGAGCATGTGTCCATGCATTTTACTTGCAATTTCCTACAACTTTTAGGTTGGATCACCAAATTTGTATACATCTCTTGAAAGACTGTACGTTGGTTGAGTTCTAATGTAGGTTATATGTGTTGAGGGTCAAAGCCTATTGTATTTACCATGTAAATCACTGTACCAATACTCCAATAACCTACAGTTTTCAGGTGTGATCCCTAAATCGAAACCACAAAATGGATTATTGAAGGCTTTGACCAAGTTTGAATGGTGATGATATCTATCCGAGGTCAAATGTCAATTAACTCTCTATTATTGTAAAGCACTTGATTCACTTCTAGAATATCTTACCTCTACCAATCCATAACCTAATATTTACCTATCACTCCAATTCTTTTGTGCCACGAACACAGCTTCCTTTAATGCAAATATTTGATTTTCTTTTTGAAAGGTCATCTTCTGAGTATTTTGATATGGTTAAATTTTCATGTCATGTTAGCTCGAATTTAGTCTTGCCTATGTATCAAGGGAGATTTCTTGTTAATTCTTGTTAATCAGTTCAAATTTTTATCCATCCATATTGCCCTATGGCTTTCCATGAAGGTTCACTGCATGTATATGAATGTAGTTTTTGCTTTGTTATACCACATCATGCAGTCAATCTTTCATAAGTAAACCTATACACATGTTCCAAGAAAGTCCTGATTTTCCATTGTGATTTCTGCAACAATTATCTTTGCAGAATTCAGCTAAGTCAAAGTTAATTTCCAATCCTAATAATAAAAGGAAAAAAAAGTTTATTTTTTTATTAAATTTGTAAGCCAAGGTTAAATATCCACAACTCACACATAAATTTGCAAAGTACACTTGTATACCCTCCACATTCACCATGGTTGTCTGTGGCACATAGAATTCTTTCACTTTTCAACTTGGTTGTATCTCTCTTTTAGATGGTCCCATACCTCCAATCAACATCATGGCTGAACCTATATCACCGGAGGCCATCTCTGTATCGTGGGATTTCCCTGTGGAGACCGGACCTCCTCCTGAAATTGGTGGACGTCGTCCAGACATCTACTACACTGTCCGAGTCAGCAATCCAGATGTAGGGTAAGCAATTCATTAACAATATTTGGCATTCTCGTAGTTTGCAAGTTATCTTTTGATTGTTTGTTTGATTTAATTTTGTTTCTGTGTTCAATAACACAAAGAAAAATAATTACATATTACAAAAAAATATTAAAGCACATTTAAGGCACAATATATTATATTTATTGTGAAAACAATTTACTTTTTAACACTTAAAGAAATAAGTATATGGCAAATTAACATTTTACAGTGAACAGAATTTTTAAACGCAAGAGACCGCCTTCCTTGAGTATCTTACTATTTTTTTATGTGTTTATTTTTTTTTCACCAGGGATGTATATGCCAATTCAAGAGAAATGACTGCTGATGTGGAGGGACTAACACCAGATACTCTATATGACGTTCAGGTTGCTATGGTTTACAATGGATTCATCAGTGATTATGGAGATCGCTTTTCTGTCAGAACCTTTAGTGATGGTAACTATGACTTTTTTATACCCCACATTTTGCATATACAGTAGGTCACAAACTCTGTTAGTTTTGAGGGATGTGATTGTCCTCCAGAAGCCATCTTATCTAATTAAGTTTCAAATAAAACCCAATTTTGAATCTTGCCCTACCGATCTTTCTCATATGAAACAACACTCACAAAATTATGTTGGTGATATAAGTGTGTACCCCCTTACTGGGTAGAACTGAGTAGATAAAACGCAACATTTGATTGCTGGATATGAATACTGTAAATATCCAATTCTACTATTACTACAAATACTACTTTTTCAACTGCTATTTATGATAATACATATCTGATAATACATATCTGTAAAGCGCATTGAGAGGGCCTGCAGTCCTGAAATGCGCTATATAAGGACGAACTATTATTTTTATTATAATGATAATAATACAATAATAAAAATATTAATAATAATAATGATAATAACAATGATAATGATAATTAAAATGATAATGAAAATGAGAATGATAATGATGATAATTTTGTTGGTGATGTTGATGTTAATGATGTTATCGCTATTCGTAATAATAGTTTTTTATTTACAAAATATTGTTTTTTTATATGGTCTATCCTCCCAGCAGAGAGTAATCATAAATGCTGATAAAAAAACTGGGCAGACATGTCATCACATCATTTATAGACTTTTTTTCGAGTGTAATCTGATAAATTCATTTTTACCTGGCTTATATTTTGATGAATTATATGAATGTGAATTTGAACTGATTATTTGAATGACCATCTTTCCTTCAGTGGATCCTCGTTCACCCCAGTTCCCCACTGTAACTCAGGTCTTACTGGAGTCTGCAGACAACGTTCATGCTACCCTCAACTGGCTTCCACCAAGGGAGGATGCAGATAATGTCAGGTGTAAGTAGGACACTATCCATGCCTTTCTCTCCTAGACAATATTCAAATTTTAAGAGTTATTATTCTCACATTATATTAAACTTGAAGATTGTCTGAAAACCAAGAATGATTGTGTTGTTGAATGGTTGTGCAATCCACTGCATGCATCTATATGGTAAATTTGAAATGTAGTATTGCAGACCCAATTGTCCTAAATATTACCAGGGAGGATTAAAGCTTGTTCAGATATGGCGCAGTGAACTGCTGCAAAAAACTGTCACTAATCTGTGGCAACTTGGTGCAACAATTAAAGGACTTGCACATATTCACTGAACTCTGTGTTATAAGATACAGAAATGTGAAGCCTATTGCCTTTGATCATCATTAAAAAAAGAAGGATCTAGAACCATTGACCCCTGCGTGTGCATCTAACACTGGATAGGGACAATTTAATTAAGAGTGAGCGTTGTGCCGTACTGACTCGAGAAGAAGATCATTAAAAAAACCACTGTGGTTTTGCCACGTCATGTCTGAACGAGCCTTAAGTAAGGAGAGCAGCATCCTCTTCTAAGCTGGATAGAGGGTTCAGAGGATCAATAACCTACCGGTAGCTGCCATACTTATATTTGTATGTTTGATGTGAGTGTTTTTTTTTCAAGCTATGATTATGACAATGTAATCACATGACCAGAACCCTCCCTTGTTAATGATTCATGCTTTGAATGAGAAGTTGATGATTAAAGCACAAGGATCATCCTAACTGTAATTCTGTTTATTACCTCATTCACACATAGCATACAACACAGAGTACACCATGGCTGAAGACCCAACTTTGGAGGATGTTGAGTGGGATTCTGTGAGCTCTGATCCAAGTGATCTAGGTGTGGTGGTATCCGACCTGCCTACCAATGGTGTCGTCCACCACAGAACTCAACCCGTCTATCAGGGAGGTGAAAAGGGACCGTTCTCGGTCATACAGTCATTTAGTACTCCAGTTGCTGAGAGACCAAGTAAGTTGAGTCAAGGCAGGATGATGATCAGTCGAGTGAGTGGCTGCATAGTAAATAGGCATAGCAAATATTTCTTATGCAGGAATGAACCAAAATACTACATGTATGGAAGTAGAGGGCTTTCATCATTCCTGATCAAAATAAAGGTTTTCATAAAACTACAATATCCTACAAATTGGCCTAAACTTAAAAGAAATGTTTAACTTTTCTCTCCTTTTTATATTGAAGGGGAATAAACCTCAAACTACATTTTATATCAATACTTCATTATTGATATAAATGCACTTGTTGTATTATTTATGTGCTTGATGTATTACCATGGTCTTTTATTATTGGCTTTATGTATCATTTTTTTTTTGTATGCATTATGTTATGGCATCCTTTGCAAGATAAATCTGCAATTTGGCCCCGTGGCTGCCAATATTTCTTATCAACTAGAAACCATTGAAAAAAATGAATTAAATAAAATGACGCAAAGATGGATAGTGATATCAACACTTTTGCTCTTGATACAGCACCAGAAGACCAACCTTGCCAATCACATGAGGATGTGACACATCAGAGGATCAACCAGATAACAGAGAGAACAGTTCCACCTCTTGGTATGCCTCTTCCCTACTGTGACCAGTTCTTCACAGACTTCCCATGCGTCTGGTCTCCAGTGTAAGTGCTTTGGTTTTGTTCAAGAAAGCATGATATTACAAAATCTTCCGGTTATCTCCCGACATAAGTCCCTTCTATGTGTAATGAGTACTTCAACCAAAAGTTCCCTCTCATTTGGTGTGTACACACATACTTTGATGTAATGTCTTTGGAGAATGAATGAAGTCACTATTTATTAATGCTACTGTACAGAGTGATAGGGGGTGGGGGTTATAGATTTTAAGGTAATCATAGCCATCAATACACAGCTTGGCCAACCCAATTCTAGTATTCTACAGTATGACAAGCTAAGTTTCCTGATAAGGCACTCAAGCCTTCAAGGAATTTCTTCAGGACATGCATTTACTGCACTAGGGCAAGATGGGCAGAAGATGTAGATGAATGTCTTGCCCGAAGGGGTTGGTGCCATGGGAGGGACACTAGATTTGTACACCTTTTGGACCACAACTGATTACTTTTTCATTTTACCATGACATCTCTAAATTAAGCTTACATTCTTTGGTCCTTTGTTCATATTTTGAAATAAATTATCTTTATTTTGTATTAGATAGTTTAGCTGTGATGCTTACCTGACTGAAACGATACAAATAATTTAATTTTTTGTTAAAATGCTTTAGAAGGCTTGAGAAGAGCTTAACACAGACTGATTCATGTTTTTTTATTTAGATGCATTTGTATTCCCCGAGGTACCAAATCACTTGGAGCACTACCCACATCGATCAGACCAGCAAGTGGACCAGGATGTAAGTTGTTATCATTGATAGTGGTGTTTTGGTATGTTATCAAGAAACCTGGAAAACCTCAACAAATATTGATTATATATGTTGAGTTATTAAAGCTAGAAAAATTCACCCATAAATTGAACATAAAGAGAACATTGTGACAAAAGTTCCTTACTGTATAATATGCATGCACATAATTTAGCAACAACTTTTGTTTGATCAAGGTATGAATTTAAGCACGTACATGATGAAAGTAATTTTCAGAGACAGACGACCATCCTATTGTGCTACACCATAAATAAATGTCATAAATGTCTCCTAGATTGCTCCTGCCATCTAGGGCTGTCTGTAAACACGATAATTCTACCCCTACTATATTATACTATTTAGGAAACGGGCAAGTTGCCATTCTCACATCCTATCACCACAAATGTCATGCAACTTTTTGAATAAATGAACACACCCTCTTTTAGACAATGTAATGAAGAAAGATCTTCAAGATCATTGGAAGCTCTTTTACTTATAGGACGTACTGTGACTTTGTATGGGTTTTTGTGGCACTATTGTACATACATGTATCTACACTGTATACAGGATCTTGTAACTTGAATAAAGAATTCTTGGAACGGCTATCGATAAGGATTCACATAAGTTCCTGGTTATACAGTAGTATCGTTAGTAGTTCTGATCCTGATAGTGATAGTAGTCATAATTATTGTCATAATAGGGATGTTTGGATGTGATTATTATTCTAGTAATAGTAGTAGTATTTAGTAATAAAAGTTAGATTTGATAGCAATGATAACACGATTTGGATGAAAGTAATTAAAACATACTTGATTATAAACATTGTGTAGTTATGAATAATTCTTCTAATTTTGTTTGAATCCAGGTTCATCAGCCCAGCAACAACGAGATGACCCCAGTGCCATGTACCGTGATGAGCCTAGGAGAATCTCAGAGATACCTAGTCCCTGCCAAGCTGTCTTTGATGTGACCTTAGAGGCTATCAAGGAGAGTCATAAGAATGCTATACCTCTTATGGCCTCCTCTCTACCTAGCTGCAGCGTGGATGGCTATTATAACAGCATCCAGTGTATGGGAACAATGTAAGTTTATCATCTCTCTTTATCTTGATTCTTACATCCATAATCTAGCTCCTGGATAAATGACTTTCCTCATTGCACAGAGCCAGCCAGCTTTATCCTGGTTTGCGCTCATTTGGTCTCACTCTCAAGGTCCCCATAATACACCTCAAGGGATAAAGATACTGTGCCTTCTTATTCATTGCTTGTTTGTGCAACTCACTCCCTTCTTCTCTTCTTAAAATTGTCACGATTATGCCTCAAAATTTAGCTATTTCAGCAAATGTGAAAATACTGACTTCATTGGAGAAGCCTGAGCCTTTGATTATTCTTCTTTTAAACAGGAAAATGGTGCGATATAGACACTGGGATTTTTACATCTTCTGGTATCTTATGATAATCCATGAATGTGGGGTTGCATTTATTCTCTTAAATTCAAGGATGATGCTTTAAGAATGATCAATCTTGGTTTGGGGGGAAATATGCTTATCTTGGAAGTTACAGAAACTTTATTTCCATAAAAATATGCTAAACCTTGATTGAAAATGCCTATTGAAGAAGGGTTGATGTTTTTGTCAGTGTCTAAAGCTGTTAATTAATTTGTTTTTATACGTGAACATATCTTGTTACTACAAATATGATTGCATTTTCCTTTTACCCAGAGACATTTTCTTCTTTTATATTGTGTAGGTGTTTGTGTGTAGATAGGATGGGCGAACCAACTGGTGAGATGACTGAAGTATGGAATGTCAAGAAGCTCAGATGTGAGTTTATCAGAAATTAGAGATTTTTTTTGTATTAGAAACTAGAAAGGCTTAGAATCAGTCTTCATGGAACCAGTTTGAGATGAGTTTTGTAGATTTACTGTGTTGTGAAATTTTGAAATGGTGTTAGGGTTATACTTTGTATGACTCTTTAATATATAATTATCATTTTGATTTATGCAAATCATAATAGCAGCTTTATTGATATGTTTAAATAAACAGTAAGTTGAATATTCATAATTTTTAACAAGAAAACCTCCTCTTCACTTCTCGATTTCCCTCAACCCTCACACCCATGCCAGCAATGCAATAAACTTTGATACATACATATGAGCCATTTCGTTCAATCTTTCCTGTATGCATATCATGGCTTTTATCCATTTTTTTTCTTTGTATAATGAAAATCTTTCATCATGACGGTTAACCATTGCTTATTTCTGGTAGAATATTCAATGGTTGTATCTAGATGTATTTCTGGACGTAATAAATGGACAAAACACATGTGTTGTATGGGACACAATTGACAGAATCATTCTGATCAGGAAATTGTATGAAGGAATGCGATCCATAATAGTATTTAAAACAACATCATTTATGTTATCTCCTATCACAGGTACATAATGAGGATCATGGTAAAATGGAGAGAGCTGCCTTTTCTTGCCTACTGGAACCAGCTACCTTCATCCACCCCTCTACCATGTTGTAGATTTGTATTTTTCTATTGAACCAGATGTATTTTATATCCTCTGCTTTAATATATCATGGACATCCTAAACAAAAGAAAGGGATAATTGTATATTACAATTATTGAATCATGCCTTTTTATAATCCAACTTATGTAAATTGTAATTATGCAAAAGCTTAAAGTTTGTACTTTAAAGCATCTTAAGACAGTGTCTTCCATCATGATGATGGCGTTTGGAATTGAAGTGAGCAGTAAGTATTGTCTATGACTTAATTCCAGGTTAGTGTGAGATTCGCTATTTGCTGCTTTCATTCAAGACTGTACTGTTGAGAATTTTTAAATAAATGTTCAATGTTGTAATGTGCCGATAGTGTTGCCAAATACATGGCGTGTGATCATTTTCATCAACTCAATAAAATATTCTTTCAAAATTAGAGTGAAACCAAGCCAAGGTGGTTTATGAGCAAAGGATTAGGTTTATATGTGAGGGCAAGGAGATTATTTTGCTTTGTATCCATATTTGTCATTTGTGTGTTGAAATACATGTATGAGTAATCAGCTTACAGTATGTTTGCTACTGTGGAAGCATGTATATATGATTAGAAAACACCTTAAGGTATTCCAAACAGCCACTATGTATGAACCATAAATTTGTTTCATTTTACTTCGTTAACCTTTGATTGAATAAGACAGTTATTAGCTGTTGCAAATATAATTTTCGTTTTTTATATAGCTTAAGCCCAATTATGTACACATTTTATACATGTTTAAATTAGCCAAAGGGTGAACATTTAGTGTAGGATGTATGTATTCTTCACATCAATGAAAAAACAGGATTGTATGAGAAAGGATGAAGTGTAAGTTTGTATCACTAGGTGCCACTTTGTAGTTCAGTTTTAGAACTTTAAGTTGAAAGGATAAAACATTTTGTTCCTTTGATAGAAAAGGAAATTTTAGAAAATTATTTTAAAGTAAGTTTTGTAGTAGTTGCAACAATAATTTTCTAAAAATGTGCAAGTAACTCCTGTATGCGAATAAAGCCAACCCTCTTCAAAGAATACAATGAAATAAAAAAACGTCTTCTGATTAATAAAAAAGCAAAAATTGTTTTTCTTCTGGAGTGAATGAGTTTCAATATCAGTAAGTGGTTTAGGGTTTGTGTGGGTTTTTGTTCTGAATGTTTTAATTATTAGTACATAATATTTTTACTGTAATATTCTAAAATACAAAATGAATTGATATAAATTATAAATTGATCAATCTAGGTGTTAAAATAAAGTTGCCCAGGAAAATACATCCCAAAGTTATAGCTATGATAATTTTCTTAGAAGTTAATTTTTTCATGGGGGGGGGGGGGGTCCCATGTGTGGGACGATAGTCCCAGTTGTAGTCTGGATAGGACCAATTACATCTATATGCAATAGTAGTATTAATGACTGCTTTGAGAGAAATAGTTGTTTTTATATGCTCAAGGGAAGGTTAGAATTGTGCTATTGACCGAGGCGTGCCGAGGGCAATAGCCCAGTTGTAACCTTCCCGAGAGCGTATAAAAACAACTAGGGTCTATTTCTCGAATATTAAAGCAGTCATTAATACTTTTATATGCCGAAAACAAGAGTCAACTAATGACACCACCTTGGCCTTTCTCTAGTTTATCTGCACGGTTGTTTTTTATGAGTGTATCTTTGAGAGTAGACTAGATCTAGATTCTAGTCTAAGCAAGATATTTTTACAATTTGGGGGGGGGGGGGGTGGGCCGGCCCTGTGGGGAATATGGAGAAGAACCTGAGCTTTCATATGACACCTCACTTATTGAGTATCACCTTCAGGATCACAACAGATTATAAAGGTTTGAATCTCGAATTGAAAAAAACTTGACATTTTTTGTATGGTCGCGGAATGCACGTAGGCTACATAGAGACTGCATTGCGTACAATCTCTATGGGAATAATTTTAACGCACAACATCGGGTGCGCGATCAGACACCCTGACAACTAGATCTATTTTCGTATCTTTGAGAGTAGACTAGATCTAGATTCTAGTCTAAGCAAGATATTTTTACAATTTTGGGGGTGGGCCGGCCCTGCGGGGAATATGGAGAAGAACCTGCGCTTTTATATGACACCTCACTTATTGAGTATCACCTTCAGGATCACAACAGATTATAAAGGTTTGAATCTCAAATTGAAAAAAAAACTTGACCTTTTTTGCATGGTCGCGGAATGCACGTAGGCTGCATAGAGACTGCATTGCGTACAATCTCTATGGGAATAATTTTAACACACAACATCGGGTGCGCGATCAGACACCCCGACAACTAGATCTTTTTTCGTCTAGAGTCTATACGTCTAGATCTATGCTTTTTCAGCAACTAAACGAACATGTTTATGGATAATTTCATGTACCCTTTTTGTTGTTCTTGCTGTCAGCGAGTCTTGCATTTGATAAGTTGAAATCTTGGGAGAGATTCTTGAGCCATTTTTGTCTTGTTTGGAATTGCCTTGTCTTGTATGAAAATACCGACCAATCCTTCGCACACGTACGGTATCCTCTATCGCTCAAACCATTTTTTAACATGTAAACCTATGGGGTAACCATGGAGACTGACCTATTTTCCCGGTAACCATGGTTATTGGGAATTTTACAGAAATAGTTAAAGTTTATGAATGCAATTTCGACCAATCAGATGGCTGGATTTCTTAAGTGAGGTATATAATATCAATTAAAATATGAATTGTCCAAGATTGTGCTCTGCCATTTTGATGATTTCAATGAGTCGATAGCATGAAGTCTGTATCCTGAGATAACTTATATATTCAGGTATCTCGCAGGACTTTGCAATTGGAAATTATGTTAAAATCATTTGCTAGCAAACTAGATTTTTAGAATTGTTTAAATAAATGATAATGGTCCTAAAAGACAACCCTGAGAAACTCTAGAATTAGTTTGTTAAAAGTATGTGAGTGTGCATGTTTATAGGTGTGAGTGCATGAGGGTGTGTGTGTGTATACACTCATAATATAAATTATCACAAATTCATCAACAGTTGTCAATGCATGCTATAATCGTTTCTTTTAATGTTCAGTTTTATAACAAAATCACCAGTGTAAGCTCTGCAAAGCTTTATCTTTATTAAAATAGAGATGTTCAACTTAATTGTTATTAAAGGTATATATATAAAACTAATTGTGCAGCTTTGCTAAATGAAAGAGAAAGAGAGAGAGAGGGGGTGTAGGGAGATGGGGAAGGAAAGAGAAAGTGAGGGACCAGAAATAAATGAGAGAAAAATGGAATATTCTACATGTTAATCACGAATGTTTGATAAAGATAGTACTAGACAAGTCATAAATGATGGAGTGCCGGCAAAACCATGCAATGGACAACTTTTACAGAGAAGCTTAATGTTTACTTGGTTTCTAATGGTATTTTACGTTCGGGATAATCACCCCATCTTTCCTTTCGTTATAGATTGAAACAATTATTCATAAGTTTTCTTTTAAAATAATGTATTCATTAAGTAACGTTATTTCATCTAATATATTTTTTAAACCTCCATAGCACCAACACAAGTAATATAGCTAGAAAACGCTTGTTTGTTATCTGATATCATTTTAACGTTGAACGGAATAAAAGTTACTAGAAAACAACTTGCAATGTTTAGCAAATTAAAAGCAAAAATATAATTATATTACCAAGCTTAATGCCTGGATTGCATTTGGCCTGCGATTAGTCTACGGAGCCCGTATCCTGCTCGTATCCCCTTTTCCGTGCGGCCTCTGTGCGGTGGCAGGAGGCGGCCGTGAGATTTTCGTACGGATTCACGGGCTCCGCAGCCTTTACGATTTTGTTTCGCGAGAAGTTAAACAAATTTGAAAAAATCGTAAGCCCGTAGCCCGTATACATGTTGGTGGCATTGCACAATCCCCGCACGGGCATCGCCCGGAGTCCTCGCACTGATTGTGCAGCAAACGTACGATTTTTCGGTTAACATGGGGGCAAGGAAAATCGAACGGAGATTGTAGACCCATGGGGCATTCGCACGGCAATTGCACAGCTATCGCAAGGTTGATGTATGGTCACCGCGCCTTCTCCGCGCAACCTTTGCACGGAAGCTGCACGGGCTCCGTATGATTTCCGTGTGGAGGCTGCGGAGACTGCACGGCTACTGCATGCAAATTTCACGATTTCCGTACAATCTCTGAGCAGCCTCTGTACGGATTTGCCCCGGCCTGCCCCCGAGGGCCAATACAATAAATGGCACGATGCTCGTAGATAATGTAAACACAAACATCGTAGCCCGTAGCCTCCTACGATGTCTACGAAAAATCGTAGACTAAGTTATCGTAAGGCGCCCGGGGCAAATGTAATCCAGGCATAAACAGGGTTACGACCCTAATTAATCTGCTTCTAAGTCGAAATGCAAACAGCTATCTCAAAAACAAATAATTTTAGATAAATATGAGGCTATAGATCAAACAAAAGTACTTTTAAAAATAACAAATTATGGTCTCAACTTCTCTGAACTATGTACTTTGAAAGTTAGGTTACAACCCTAAAGATTTCTCAAACTTCATTCTCAAATTAATAGGCAAGAAATGATTGCTACCGGGTTTTCATAATGTGTTCACGATTAACCATTTGAAAATATCGTATTTGTCATTCCTTTTAAAGTCATGAAATTGAGTTTTCTGTTCTGACCTTTCCTTCAATAAAATCAGCTACTCAGATGACATCAAAATAAAGTTTCTAACCAAATTTCAAGCACTAGATGAAGTAAATCGTGTTCATAAAGCTGGAATGAGGAGCACAGCGCATCATCTCCATATCAATACATGTTTTGACATTTATGGATTCTCTTGAAACTCGATCTCGACTTTGGCAGAAGAAGGTTCAAACTCTTGATTAAATTTCAACATGTTTGCCTCTGCTAATCGCCAAGATTCGAAGCGAAACGACTCCGTCATGTTCTCCGACTCGATGGACTTGTAGAACTTTTTCAGACGATGGTCATTGCCGTTCATCATCCAAATGACTCCTTTGCAACCCAATGACAAGCAGTCCTGGAAAAATAGGAGGGATAAAAGGCATGTTATATCCCGATATAATAATAATAATAATAATAATATTTAATTTTTATATAGCGCTGTCTCTAAGCGCTTTACAAATATACTATCTTGGCTCGGCCCACAAATGGTTTGATAGAAGGGTGTTGATTCGGGGATGGATGGGTGTATTTAGACCCTCTCTCATATACACACACGCACACACACACACACACACACACCCCGCGCACACGCATACACACACACACACACACACACACAAACCTTGGTTTGAAACGCGTCGAAACGCGTCATATGACGCACATAAATCTAGGTTTGTCCACAAACCTCCTTTGTGAATTCGGGCCTTTGTGATGGGGTGGCTTGCAAGTTCACCCATAGGAAAGAAATGAGCCTGCCGCATACTCCTTTTTCTTTTTCACATGCAAATTAGTTTTGCCGCAGACTTGCCGCAGACATGCCGCATACTCTTTCAGTATGATGAAGAGTCTGCGGCAGGTCTGCCGCAGACTTGCTGCAGACTTGCCGCATACTCTTTCAGTATGATGTAGAGTCTGCGGCAGGTCTGCCGCAGACTTGCTGCAGACCTGCCGCAGACTCTTCTTCATGAATATTCATATCTCATATAGACCTGCTGCAGACCTGCCGCATACTCTTTCATATCCAGTACGTGGCAATAAAAAGTATGCATGTAGAAGAACCAGTGATAAACTGATTGATACTTCATAATTGATATTGGCAATATCGATATTACCAATTAGGTAATACCAATATATATCGATATTACCAATTAGGTATATTCTATTATCAATTGTATTAACTTCATCACATTGATCATTTGAAGTGTATTCAAGAGAAACATTTAAAGTGTCACAGGCTCGTACACATATATATACTAAATATGTATATTGTTTCTTGGTTAGTAATCATAGTTTCTTGGTTAGTAATCAATATATCTATTGCTTAAACGTGAATGTAATTGTAACATGAACGGACAAAATAATCTATTGGTTAATAATGACAAAAGGAAAATA